TCTCTCTCTCTCTCCAAAGTGACAATGCAGAATATAGCAAGATGGGGAAGGTATCCATATTCTATAGGTGATTAAGATTTGGCATTAGATTAAGATTATCCCCAATCTTTTTATACTTAGCCTAAATATAGTTGGCATTGACCCTAGTTTAAGCTTCATAGTGAAAAGAGCTTGTACCCTTCATCTCTGGACTCGAGCTTGTCGACCGACACCTTAAATTTACCAACTCTTATATGAAATTACTAACTTTTTTTTACGAAATTACTAACTTTAATAGAGTGATTTTTCAACTTTTTCTCCGAGTGAGTAATTGACTAGTTTTGGATTGCTAAACTTTTATTTGAGTTGGTCACTGGGTTAATACCACTGAATATCTCAAGGTGGTAAAACGGTATCACATTTATCCATGAATAATTTTCGAGTCTTGAAAAAATCATAACTGTCTACCTCCGGCTAATTTCGTGTCATAAAAAATAGCAAACTGGTACACATGTGATAAATCTTCCTTCCGTTAGCTTCCTTCCAATATCCTAGATAATTGCTGACGTGAAAACGCACTTGGCAACACAACTCGGGTGATCGGTCTATGACGTGAATCCCCGTGAATACTTACCTTAGATGGGTCTCTTAAATGATGTTTTTGGAAAGTAGGATTTGAAGAAAAAAAACTGAGATTGAGAAATAAGCTAAATTTACTAATTTGTACAAGAGTTGATAGATTAAAAAAAAACCAAATAAAAGTTAGTAAGTGATCCAAATGTGAAGACATAACCGAAAAGAAGTTGGTAATTATAATAGGAGAAGTCATCCAAAGAAAGAATGACAAACTCATATGAGAGAAGGTAAATTTAAGGCGTTTGCAAAAGAATGATGAGTAAAAGTTAGTAAAGCGTAAAAAAAATTGATAATTTGTAAATGTCAAAAAGATCTAGTAATTTGCATAACGAATAAGTAACTGGAAAATCAGGCAATGGGTAACTTGTTTTGCCAATAGTTTTTTTAACACTTACGAGATCTTTCAAATTTCAACCGGCATGAAAAAATGCTTTGTTTTTTTATTAAATGAAACAGTAGAATCATCCCCACATAAGTATTTCCCTAAGTAGATATAGGAAAGTTAGCGTGTTTTCTTTTTCCCTCAAACAATGTGGCGTGATCCTCGTGGAAGAGCATATCAGACTTGTATGATCGTCTTCCAGAACTAAGACAAAACTTACGGCCGAATATATCTGCAGAAAAACCATCCCTCTCTCTCTCTCTCTCTCTCTGAAAACTGAACCGTGAATGTGAAACCCCGAAAGAAGAATCATCAATGGCAAGATGCATACGGCGTTTCCGAATGCGAAATCTCTGGTATGAACGCAGTAATATCTATCTGCAACATGCATGCGAGCCATGCACCGCACGATGCTGAGTGGTTGGAGCAAAGTCCTCCTCCTCCTCCTCTCTAAGCAACGCCCCCTAATCCCAGTTCACAGCTCGTGATCCACGCACGCCCCCTGGCCGAGTCAAGATGAACGATAAACCCTAGTTTCACAGCCCTGTGATCGACCGCGACAATCATTCATTACAGTCACCTAACACATGCGCTCATCTCGTGCTGCGCAAGGCCAACTGATGTTCTTGGCGCACAGTGCAGGGAATCGCGGTCATGACTTGAGTGGAAGAGCCGCTTCCTTCGTCCAATGGCTTTTTCCAACCCCTTTTTAATTTTATGCTGGCACATGTTTGGCGGGCACACCGTGTTGACAGTAGGCTCGCCACCGAACTCGTCTAAGAACACATGGTTTTTCTTTTTATCACGAATAGGTGAAGTACCCCATTTCCAAATGACTTTCCGATGGCGTCGGGTGTATAATAAGATGTTGTCGATCTCATCTGATAGCTCCGTTCGATTCTCAAGTGCAGTGGGCCAAACTCGGGATTCGTAAAAAAGGGCCAAGAAGAGGCCTTTACGTTTTGTGATAAGCTAGGGTTTCGGATTGAAGAGCTCGCCGATGGAGTAGTGATTTTAGTTGGGTCCTATGATTTATGAAGCTAATTTCGGTTGCAACATAAGGGAATGAAGCCGGCTCGAGCTATTTCCGCAGACTAAACTCGAGCTTGACGGGATGATTATGCGAGATTCACTTGTTCAAATTTGATTTAAGGTCGAGCTCATCGATATTCGGCTGAAACGATCGCTCGCGAGCTTAATCGAGCTTCTATTATTTGTATTTTTCGAAAAATATTTGTTGCTCATAAACTTCACTTAAACATTCTGGGAAATTATGAAGAGACACTTAGATTGCACGTATTTTTTCAAAAGACCCTTTCCTTAAAGAGGGGGACTTTCTTTAAAAAAAAAGATGAGTGTATTAGGGTGCGCATGGAATGCATTCCGAATAAAAATTACATTCGAATGCATTCCGAAAATAATGGCGTTTGTTAAAAAATTTCGAATGCGTTCTAGAGCGATTTTTCCATTCGGAATAAAAATGCGTTTGTTAAAAATACTGATTCCGAATGCATTCGATTCCGAATGCATTTTGATTCCGGAATGAGTTTTGGCAAGAAAAGAGAAGCTACTTTTTGTAGGCTTCTTGATTCGAATGCATTCTCCCTATTTTCTCACAATTTTTTTTTAAAATGCATAAAAATTGAAAAATTCTAGAAAAATTCATAAAAATTTCCAGAAAATAAAAAAAGTCAGATTTCGGGAAAATATGAAATTTGGTGAATTTTTTTAAAAAATAAAAAAAATCAAAAATTTTAAAACTTCACGTATAAAAACACATGCAATGTACCCACTTTGAGTGAAATTTAAATTTTTGAGGTGCCCAAAAAAATCAAAATTTCAAAACTTCACAAAATGGCTTAAAATACCCGTGGCCACCTACTTTGGTGAAATTTAAATTTTTGAGGTGCCCAAACAAAAGAAAAATAATAAAAAAATAAAAATTTTCAAAACTTCAAAATGGCTTAAAATACTGTAGTCACCACTTTGAGTGAAATTTAAATTTTTGAGGTGCTTCAAAAAAAAAAAAAAAAAATAAAAAATTTCAAAACTTCACGAATGAGCTAGAATATCCGTAGCCACCTACTTTGAGTAAAATTTAAATTTTTGAGGTGCCCAAAAATAAAAAAATTCAAAACTTCACAAAATGGCTTACAATACCGTTGCCACTCACTTTGAGTGAAATTTAAATTTTTTATGTGCCCAAAAAATTAAAAAAATTTAAAATTTCAAAACTTTCGAATGGCTTGTAATACATGTGGCACCCACTTTGAGTAAAATTTAATTTTTTTAGGTGAAAAAAATCAACAAATCAAAACAGATTTTTGTTCAAAATCAATTTCGGAGCAGATTAATCTATGTTTTACCAAACAGATTTCTCTCCGTAAATCAATTTGCAAGAATTCCGAAATCAATTCTGCAAGAATTTGATTTACGGAGCGAATGGTTACCATTCGCACCTGAAGTCCTAAATTTATAACGAAAGTGAAATCGAATTCAGAAACTTTTAAAAAGTACAATTGAATCATAAAACTTATCATGAAAATATAATTAAGTCCAAAAACTTTTCAAAAAGTGCAATCAACTTCTTCTCCCGCTCCCTCAAATTCGATTTTAGGGTTCCTTAGCCAAGCAATTGGGGGCTAAGTAGCATTGACACGAGACACGCGACAGGACACGACATAACACCACTCGCCGACACGTCATTTATCAAAAAATAGAGAAATCCGATATGTTGGGACATGATGTATATTTAATGTATATTTTTATATATACATAATAAATTATTATTTTTATGATTATTTCAATCAAATTAATTTGATTCGAATCCAAAAAAAAAAAAAAAAAAAGAGTGTCGGTGTCCGACACGTGTCCGACATGACACGAAAGCCCCGAGAGAGTGTCCGTGCTTCCTAGATTGGGGGCATTTAGGGATTAGGGTCGATGAGGCAGGGGTGTAATTGAAATACGACGGTCAATTTCGGGGGGCGTTTTGAGAAAAAGCCCCGCTCCCAGGGACCTCTTTCGAAATCATTCTCCCTCCCCTCGAAAAATTTAATTCCAATTCGACCCTCGTATTTCATAGCAGCCTCTCTCTAGGGGGTAAGAACAGCAGAAGTGCCAAAAGTTGTGTACGGAACTCACTTTGGTGCCAAAAGTTTCAAACGGATAACTTAAGTGCCAAAAGTTTACGCCGGCGATCACTTAAGTGCCAAATCGAAGAAAAAATGATCACTTAAGTGCCAACGGCGGGAAATTCCGACCAAATTTAATACATGATTTTTATATTTAAATTTTAATGACACGTGACATTTTCACGTGTATAATTCAATTTTTTAAATATTTTTTTCCGATTTTTTTTTCTTTTCTTTCTTTCTTTCTTCTTCTTCTACCATGGCCGGTGGTCGGAGGCCAGCCACAGGCCAGGGCCGGCCTCGTCGGCCGTTGCCTTCCACCGGGCAAGGCCCGGCGAGGCAATCGTGGCCTTGGCGAGGGCCGGCCTCGCCGGATCTGGTGAGGCGAGCCCTCGCCAAGGTCACGGCGGCCTCGCCGAGGCGTCGCCTTCCTCCGGGCGAGATCGACTCTCGCTTGGGCAGGGCGAGCCCCGGCGAGGGCTCGCCTCGCCAGATCCGGTGAGGCCGGCCCTCGCCGAGGCCACGGCGGCCTCGCCGGCCCTCGCCCGGAGGAAGGCGATGCCCGGCAAGGCCGTCCATGGCCGGTGGCTGGCCTCCGGCCACCGGCCATGGTAGAAGAAAGAAAAGAAAAAAAAGAAAAGAAAGGAAAAAAGAAAGAAAAGGAAAAGAAATGCCACATCAGCCTCCGGCGATCCACATCAGCTTGAGAAATTAATAAAAAAATATCACATCAGATTTCCGGCGATATGATACTTAAGTGATCATTTTTCACAATTTTTAATACTTAATTGATTCGTTTGAAACTTTTGACATAAAAGCGAGTTCCGTAGATAACTTTTGGCACTTCTGCCGTTCTTGGCCCCCTCTCTCGCCTCCTCTTCGACAGAGAAGTTTCCGGAAGAGACGGGAGAAATGGCGTCGATCCTCGGCACAGCGAGCGGCGGGAGCAAGGAGGAGCTCCAGAGCGCCATGGACAAGGCGAAGGAGATCGCTGCATCGACCCCCGTTGTCGTGTTCAGGTCTCGCTTCCCCCTTCCCATCCCCTCTAGTTTTCATCCAGCGCATCTTCTGCTCCTCCTCCTCCTCCTCCGGGAAACGGGGTCGATTCTTGAAATTTGCCCGGGTTTGTTCTGATGATCGCTCGTCCGTTTCGAATGATCAGTGTCCCCTCTGTGATGATGCGGGCTCGTGGGTGGAATCAGACGCTCCGGACGTGCAAATTGGTGCACGGGAGGGTAGGAAGAATAGGCTGTGGGGGGGAAAAGCTAGCAGCTTCGATGGGATTTTAGAATTAGATGTTTGTTGTGGCAGTGGGTTTCGCTAGGATCTCATGTACCCAGTTGCTGAATTTGATGATGCGAGCCGTTTAGCGCGAAACTGGCGGGTGACGAGGGAGAAAATCGATAGTGGGTCGAAGGAATTGCCGTCGCCGGAATGCTGTGCCGGGTTCCGTTAGAACTAACCCGATTGTGGCAGGGCCCGCAGTGGCAGCTCCTCCTCCACATGAGAGGTTTTTATGATTGCTGCTTGTAGGGTCAGAAGCAGAAAGGGGGTCTCCAATCCTTATTTGACCCCCGTGCTTTCTTCCTGTGCAGCAAGACTTATTGTGGCTACTGTAAGAGGGTGAAGCAGCTGTTGACGCAGCTCGGGGCGAGTTACAAAGTCGTCGAGCTGGACAAGGAAGGTGAGTGTCTCCTAGCCTCTCGAGCCGCCTGCGTATAATCTTGAGCTGAGTAGAAACCGTCTTGTTCTTGGCTATTTGGAGGCTAGTTTCGTCGACAAAGCGAAGATACCAATTATTGGGCGGATTTGCTAGTTTAGTGTTCTATTGATGCGTAGAAGCCGGTTAAGATTCTCCCCGTTTTTGCTCAATTAGCGCCGAAGACCTGTATCTTTTAGTTCTTTCGACGAGGGGTCGTGTGTGGGAATATAGTTTCCGGGTACCAACCGGCGAACTTTTTCGAGATGTTTCGAACTATAATTTGTTGATATTTCCCTGATTGTGCAAATGATCGCTTCATCTACAAGTTGAAGAACTCGTGTGGAACGTGATTTCTTTAACACTATTCAACCATCTGAATTTCCACTTGAAGGTGATGGAGCTGCCGTTCAATCGGCTTTGGCAGATTGGACAGGGCTGAGAACAGTACCAAACGTGTTCATTGGGGGAAATCATATCGGCGGTTGCGATTGTAAGTTCTTATTCGCGTGCCTAATCATCTGTTTCTCTTTTCTTTGTTGATTTCAAGAAAATTCTCTGGTATAGGTTTAGATGCAACACGGGTGTTGTTTTGACAATTTATCTTTTGATGTCGGCTTTCCTTGCAATTTCAGCGGTCACTGAGAAACACCAGGCAGGTCAACTGGTACCTCTTCTTAGGAGCGCTGGAGCTGTGGACTCCAAATAAACATGGTGCTCATAGTAAGTGCCTTAGATCGGAAGAGGGAGACTGTGGGATGCAATAAGTGGATAAACTGAGGTGTGATGTCCACTGCTTATGTAAACGAAAGAATTGTTTTTCGACTGCTTGCACAAATTTGGAGTGTGTGCTATAAACTACCCTGTTGGCAAGAGTTGCTCCCATATCAGTTCGTGCTCTCATCTAATGAGAGGCCATCGTCGATTGTCGGGTATGGCTGGCTGGTCGTCACTTTATGTAATACCGGTGGTGGCTGAAAATCCTAAATGCTGAAGTGGAATGTCTATTGGAAAGTCTGAGACCCAGATTGTATGTTTGCCGAAGGGACTAGGATACGATTTAGCGGCATCCGGTAATAAAGTTCCGCGGGACGTTGAACTAGATCTCCTTAGAGATCTGCAGTTCTATAATGCGGAAGGGTTATTGTCGAGATTAAGATTTGTTGCTTTTATTTTTCGTTTCATGATAATTCGAGTTCGAATGCGATGATCCAAAAGCAAAGCAGGTTCTCCAAGAGAAGCAAAGAGTTCCGCACGGAACGATCACGAGCTTCTCTCCCACTGTATTGGAAAGCAACCTCGACAGGACTGTCGACGGGGTGTAGGGAAATCGGTATCGCCCGTGTGTTCATGGAATAACCCCTAAATCCTCTGGATCAGGGCATGGCCAAATGGGAAAGGGGTCTTCGCCTGGCTTTTTCCCTTTATGGACCCCAAAACAAAGAAACATCGATGCACTTTGCACGCGCCGTTTGCCCCTCGGTAGGTGCTGCCGCCTGCTCGCGGCACCCGTCATCCTCGCCTTGACACCAGCACCAGAAGTTAATGAAATGAACTTCAAGGTTGAAGTGATAAAGGATCCCTTTTCCAAGTGCATTCTTGAGCTTTGAGGTTGTCCAACAAATGCATCCGCCATAGGACCCTTTCATGTTCTTCTCCAGAGGAATCCGTACGTTCACCGGCCTGCGGATTTAGATCGAATTATTGGAGTGAGAGGTACGTACGGCCGTATGATGTCTGCAAAGGTCAATGCTGGAATAGTTGACTATTGTCTGCTTGATCTAGTCAAATAATGAATTAATCATCCTCCAATTTAGGATCCATCCGGAGCAAATCGCAAGCAATAATTGACAAAGAATATCAACTATAGAGTAGCTTTCGTACTGCTGCTTCTTCGACCCGGTATCACGCGGGGCGGTACTGGTGGACCGTTAATGATTCCGAGTCAATTCTCCGTAAATGCCAGCTTCAAACCAAGAAATGTATAGGAAAAAGTTGAGAAGTACGTCAAGCTGTCTAGATGATCATTTCAAGAATTCATCTATCCTCATCACGGCGAAAGAGACCGTCAGTCCGAGAAAAAAAACTAAAGTGAAAATGCTAGTCAGAAGATTTCCAACGATAGAGGCGGAATCTCGGGGTTTTGCTTTTCCCTTTTGAGATTACAGGACGTGAAAGAGGCTGGCATGAACTACTGCATAGTTGTGATTCTGTTTCATACGAGTCACTGTTCTAGAAACCAAGTATTTCGTATATGAGTTGGGTGGAATTGGCAATACTAAGAGGAAATGGAGGACAAAAGAAAGAAATGAATGAGAATAAGTACATGAGAAACGGCTAGCATTAGACATGACCGATGCACCGCGGAGCTTCTGCAATCTCTTGCACAGTAGCTGCATCTTTTGCCCCGCCTCGCAGCCCAAACATTCTCATCCCGATTTCCCGGTCAGGCTTCGAGAAACCCTTGAGCATTACTGGCCATACGACTACCCGCAATCCTTCTCACGGGACCATATGCCCACCTCATCGCAATGCGGTCGGGGTATAATTAGTGCTCCCGTTCACTATGTCCAAAAATTACATTGCCTCCGCCGGCTCAGATGATTCCACTGAAAAGGCTATTTCACCTGAGGCTTATGGTGGAAGCGAAGGAAATTCCGGGATTTGTCAGTTGGTTTGAGATCCCAGTGTTCGTATTCGAGCTGCTGCTGGAGTCATCTGGAGTCAGATTAGTGTTGAGAAATGGGGGTTGCGTCGGCACGGGAACTGTACACTCCTGGTCGTTGAGCATCTCAACTACTTCAGACATGGATGGTCGTAAATCTGGGGAAGCTTGGGTGCAAAGAAGGGCGATTTGAAGCACATTCGATGCCTCCGAGGCGGGAAACTTGCCTTTCAACGCAGGATCGATACATTCAGCAAGACCGTTTGATTTATATTGCTTCCATACCTGAAAAGTACAGAAAAAGCCGAAGCTGAGTCATAAGAAACTTTGCTAGCGTAGAGCAGAAAAGACAGACTCTCTCCAGATTGTGAAGGGACGAATTAAATAGTGCCCTTATACAGCTGAATCATGATATGTAAAGCCACAGAGAAAAGAGCAGTTGGAAAATTCTCAGTTTGAAGTTCGAGAAGATGTTAGGAATCATTTTGGACTCTATATCATTGATGAGAAGAGATTTGCAAACATCGCATGCATATTCTAGAGGTTGAAATCAGGAGGATAGGTATATGAATCTTACTGATTGCAGAACTGAACCTGAGACCTGCCCAAAGACACTGTTCTTCCTACCACTTAAAATTTCTAGGACCAGCACGCCGAAAGAGTAAACATCTGCTTTCTCCGTTAGTTTTCCCTTAACAAGATACTCTGGAGCCATGTAGCCCCTGCAAAATTATACTTTCAGAAGGAGAGAAATGTGTTCCACAGAATCTGAAGTAGAAGATGGAATCACCAAAGGGCCAAGAGAAGGGGTCATCCAAACAGTAAATTTCCCAAACCAGACCAGAGAAAGCTAGCAAAAAAGGGAACAATTCCTAATATGTGGCGGTTCAATGAGCCAATCCAGTCTTTTCTACACGAGGATGTTATCTAAACCGGCTTAAACGAAAGAAAAAGAGACAAATAATAAAAGACCAGAATCTTACAGCGTCCCTGCGATACCGGTGCTAAGATGAGATTTTTCCGGATCAAGGCATCGAGCAAGTCCAAAGTCAGCGATCTTCGCCGTGAGATCCTCATCAAGAAGGACATTGCTGCTTTTTATGTCTCGGTGTATAATTTTCACTCCACAAGGTCCATGAAGATATGCCAGCCCCTCAGCTGTTCCGGAGATGACATTAAGCCTCTCCTGCCAGCTCAGGATGCGGGTTGCATCCTTAACTGCAATAGCAACCAGGCCTTGTTATGAGTTTTATTCTTGCAATTCAAGTACTTATCGGGGAATGAGATTCAAAAAGTTGCCCGGAGAAGACTAGCAAGAAAAAGTGTCATTCTGGAACAAGATGAAGCTAGCAACTAGAATAACACCATGGAACAAACTATGAGAAGCTAGAAACTGAAGGTTTTATTTTGGTAGAAGCCCGACTTATGGAACAAATTACACTAATCTCGGATGCAGAATGGAGCAATATGTGGAGGGAACTTACCAAAGAGGAATTGATCTAGGCTTCTGTTCGGAACATATTCATAAACCAAGAGGCTTTCGGGGCCTTCAATGCTGCAACCCAGAAGCCCGACCAGGTTCTTGTGTTGGATTCCACTGATCAAATTTACCTCATTGTAGAAGTCATCCACCCACTGAACCGTGTTGAACACCAGCCTCTTGACTGCAACAACTCTTCCATCAGGGAGGATCCCCTTGAATACCGAACCAGCTCCTCCTTGGCCTAACTTCCTCGAGTCGTCAAAAAAGTTGGTAGCCTTCTCAAGCAATTCGTAATTGAAATTCAGATTCGACTTCCTTACAATCGCCGGAACACCAAAGAACTTCTTCTGGACTGAGAATAGGTAAAGAAGATGGCATTACAGCATGTTCTAAGAGAAGTTAAAAACAATATTCTCTAAAGTTTCACATCTACCTTCTCTTTTCTTGGATAATTTTCTGTATCCAACATAAGCACCGATGAAAACGAGTGAAGTTGCAGCAGCAATGGATGAAGCAATTGCAATTATGATCCCGAGCTTCGACGAGTCTGTTAAAACACACAAAGATCATCCTTTGTTAACAGAAAACAAAGCTATAGCAATTAAGAGGCAAATCACATCCATTATGCAAAACAGAAAAGCAACAGCCAGAACAAGAAAACTAGAACATCATCGTGCAGACTAACTTGAAAGATCATTCAATTCTTACCACCATCTGTTGGGACAGTATAAAACCTCTGAGTCGAATATCGCATGAAACAGCCGGCATTCATAGCCCTCCCTTCATCCCCGGGAGTACAGTTCCTCGCCTTGATCATCGCATTCTCCAAGCACTCTCCGCAACAGTTCTCGTCGAGAGTGTTCCAACACTGTGCCAGCGCATAAACACCGGCAACTCCTCCTCCACTCGCCTCCTCAAAGACGGCGAACCCCTTATTCTTCGGCGCGACCGCAGACACATTCCTCAGCACTCGGTCGACCTTATCGGCGAACTGCAGCTGCGCCTGCTGGTCGGCTGAAACACTGGTTTGATTGGCGCACTTGACCATGTCATGCTGCGGATCGATGGTCTCGTTGTAGAAATTGTAGTAATCGGACCTTATGAAGCAACCGTCGAGATACAACCGCCCAGAGTCAGCAGCCAAGACGCTGCATCTAGGAAGTATAGTCCTGCTCTGCGCGAAGCAGAGGAGGCAATCGTCGTGGCTCAGATCGCCGTGGCATTGAGCCAGGGCGTAGAGTTCCGGCAACGGAGAGGTTATGGAATCATAAGCCCAGCGATCCTCGGCGACTTTCGCGGCGACCTCTCGCATGACGATCAGGAAGTTCGAGATGACGTTCGCGGTCGATGTGACGTTGGATTTGAGACAGAGAATGCCCGCCTCGGAGACTCGAGGATCGCCGACTGAAGGAGAAAACAACGAGGAGGAGCCGAAGAGGAGGAGGACAACGTAAGCGAGAGGCCGCATTTCGCAGTTTCAACCTCGTTCCCGGAGCGAAATCTGCCGGAGAATGTTCGGTAGCGGCGGCGTTCGCTTCAGCAAGTATAGAACCAAAAAAAGCGTCGGCTGCCGAAGGTTTCCTTCTCCGGCCAAAGAGCCCGAGCTCGCGAAGCTCCGATGGGCCTCCCGACCTCGTACCTCCGCCGCCTTCCTCCGCAAGGATTCGAAGCTCGCGGAGGTCCAAAAACGACCGCGACGGCGAGGCGCTTGGCTGCTGAGCCCCACACAGATTCGCCATCCATTACGGCTCTCTTATATACATGCGAGCGCGACGCGAGCATGTGCATGTGCGTGCGGAACGAACTTCTAGAAGCGGAGGCGAGCCGACGAAGTGGAAAATTCCATGCGGATCGGCGACCCGTGCGGAGGGCCCGCCCTGCGACCGTTTCCGGCTCGGTGGACGACGGCAGTGACGGTGGCGGCAGCGACGACGACTCGGATAGCGACGGCACGGCGGAGGATGCTGCCATTTGAACGATTGATCGTTTGAAAAAGAAGGGAGAGTTGACGACGACCGGCGCGGTTGTTTGCGAAAAAGACGATTATCTTTCGTGCGCAAAAACGGACCCTTGAACTTGTTTGACTTTTTTTTTTTGACAAAAAAAATTGTTTGACTTTTCCGACCAAAAAAAAACAAACTTGTTTGACTTTTAAATTATTCTATTTTATTTTTTAAACTAGGGAAGAAGATGAGGAAATGACTGTTGAGGGTGCGTTTGTTTCACGTAAAACGTACTGTTTCGAAAATGTTTTTCGGGAATCATTTTTCAGGAAAATGAGTTCATTTTTCGGTGTTTAGCTAAAACCTAAAAAAAGACTTGTAAAGTATTTTAAGTTGTTTGGTGAGGAAAATCTGATGATGAAAATTATCAATTTTTTTTTATTTTCTAAATTTTTTCAAATTACTTGTTATTTTTAAATTATTTTTAGTAAGAAAAGAAAATACATGAATGTTTTCCTTGTTAGATAGAAAAGAAAAGGAAAAGAAAGGAAAAATAAAATATTAACAAAATGCAAGATGAGTAATTCCGGAAAATATTTTCACCTTCTTAGCTAAGAGAATTCACTTTTCTAAAATTAAACACGATATTCGTGTTGACTGTCCGTTGACCAAACCATTTTCGGAGAACCAAATGGACGAAAGTTTCAGAGAAAACACTTTCCGGGAAAAACACTTTCACCGAAACAACCCACGTCCTAAGAGGAGAAAAGATAAAAGATGATGATTTCTTTATATTCTTACTATCCATTTTTAGTTTGAGGGACCGATACTTCATCAGATTGGCAAAGCCTCGGTAGCGTTATTGTGCTGGAAACCAGGAAGTCTCTCTCTCCTCAAGAGATGGCAGAATTGCGGGTCGTCCTGAATTCACGACCTCTATGAAAAGAGACAAAAGTTTTGATATTCGGTATTCGAATGGCGTAATTCGATGACTATTTATATCGCTTTTGGGTTCGCTAAGTTTTGATCGATCGACACAAAACAGACGAGAAGATCCGCGCGTGCGCCGATCGATGAATCGGTCTGAATCAGACATTGAAATGCTTCTATGTGAACACGGAAATGTCCGTGTTTAATGTCGTGTTTCGAGAGCACCTAAACTTCTCTTTGACGTAGAGTTGGGTTTTCTCTGTTAGTTCTTGGAGAAAGCGCTGTTGTCGAAGTTGAGTTAGTATTGTTCTCGTTAGTCGACGATAATCGCGCTTCTTAAATTTGAGGATGGGTCATTCTTGTGTCAACCCGCATGATCGTAAGTAACCATGCCTGTTTAACCTGAAAACTGAAACGAACATGCCTCATCTGGCCGGTTGCAGTTGTCCTACCAACATGGGGACTACTAGGATGGTTCCCCAGTAAAAGAAATAGGGGAACCGACCTTTGATCAGTTAAGTTCCCGAACTATGTCTTTTTTTTTTTCATAAGATAATAACTATACTATTAAATAAGTCGAAAAAAGGTAGGTTCCCGGGTGAACACTGGAATCGGCCGATTCAGTTTCAGGCCGGTTTCAGGTTCCAAAAATCGAGAACCGGCTTTGATGGGCAGGTTCCAGTTTCTGGGATAATCGCCGAAAAGTCATAAACTTATTGTACGGATGCCGATTCAGTTTTAAACCTTTTAATTTGGCTAATTTAGTCCTCAACCTTTTCATTATTTGCAAATGTAGTCCTAACCATTTTTGACCGAAAATCGCCGACGTGGATGCCGGGTCGTCCTACGTGACAAGGCCGGCGCCAACGGGGACAATTTTGTACAATTCTTATAATTTTTTTTAATCCGAAACCTATCCACCTTAAAACCGATTTCCCTTGAATCGGGAGTATTGGTTACCTTTTAGCGAGAATTATGGTAATTATTTTTCATGATTTTTTTCCCGCATTAAAATGAAGAATCTTGACTTAAGCACTTACACAAGTGGTGCGCACTCAATTGCTAGTTGCCCTAGAGTGGTCAATCTTGATCGGCCAAAGTCTACCCATTACAAGAAATTTTTGTTAACATCGTACTATCCTTAATCATGATCCGATCGCATCTATCTTATGAGCTAAGCTTTCTCACTGATGTTCATGGCTCCCATAAACATTCCTCAATCAAACTCGAGTCACTGTCTCGACCAAGACCATTTCCTAGCATCCCCACTTTTCGACTTAAATGGCCCGGGTCACGCCACTCGCGACCGCGATCGTCCGATTCTCTCGACACAAATGATGGCGCATGTTCTGCGTTAGTCGTAAGCGTCCCCGATTCCCAAATGAGTAAGCTTAGGAAAGATCGATAGATCGATGTCGGACCGCATTCGATACGCTTTGTAATGAGGGGTCCAAGAATCAAGTGATCCAAATTGCATATCTTTAGGTGAGAAACTCTGCCGTGTTTGACCATTTCCTGGCAAATGCTCGAATTCTATGAGAATCCTTTAAACAAATGAAGGAATTTTGAAAAACCAAACCTTGTTCGACAAATTATCAATATGTTGACCAGGTTCTGGTACGAATTTGATCGAAGGATCTCCATGTCTGACTCCTTGTGCTTGTGCCAACAAAGAATCGAAAGCCACAAAACATTGTCTATTCCAACAATGTCACGGTCCGAGCCAACATTGGTCGCCATCGCTCGCGATCCATCATTTGCTTCTCGAGCACAGCTGTCCCGACGAATTCGAAGTAAACGACGAGGAATCGAACAACTTGTAGGGAAACTACGGGGAATGGCTTGGCATCTTCTACATCCACGCAGAGTCAATAAATGCTGCTACCAAAACTCTGTGGGTCTCGCCTGTTTCCTTAGTCTATCCTAAAGAGTGGCCACTACCCTGAGTCTTCATGCACTCAAAGCCATATATGGGTTATCTCTAAACGTGATTCTGGGGATGATGTTGAATCAGAATGAGTGCACATAATCAACAGGAAGTTTCTCACTCTTTGAAGTGCATTGTGTGTGCATTTGACCGCCGATCCTTCCTTGGTCATCATTTTCTTCGGCAACATTTGTTTCGTAATGATCGATGTCGTAGTCGTGGCCCTTACGCGTGTTCCTAGGCTGGGCCTGCTTTGATTTCGTACGAGCAAGGAGATCTACAGTATCGACGACCGACTCTTTCTACCCTGAAAAAAACACTTAAGGAGCAGTCTTCGTCTCCTTGAAATTCTAGCAATCTGATGCAGCGGTTCTTTAAATTGCATCCTTAAAGGATAGAAATGACAGAAGCAAGTGCATCATGGTACAACGTCTCTCATAACTCGGACCAAGTTTTACTGTAGAGAAGAAATCAATGTTTTCTTCCTTAAACATCGACATACCTGTAAGATTGTTTTCAAAGTTCTTTGCATACCAAAATGAACGCCGAATCCCTGTGCTTGCTGAGCCTACTTGTATTCTCACACTTCGACTTCTGATCAACCCATGAGACTCGAGTCTTGTATACAAATGGAGATGATTGTTTGCTTGTTCAGTGTCTCTAAAGCTCTTCCTTTGCCTTCTACAATCAGTCATAGGCGAATAAGGTTTACAAAAGTTTGATCGAATGCGAGGCAAGTGCGATATTAGTTGCAACTCACGTTGGAGATGTTTATCCACTTGTTCAGGGTCTGCAAAGCTCTTCCAGATTGTTGAGTTTCTTGAGCCAAACTTACTCCATCAGCTAATGTACGTACTTGGCCCACGACTAAGAGAGCTGCTGCTGCATTTAGTATCTGCATATTGTTTTGCCAGACACAAGTTTCTAAGCAAAGAGAGGCCAACAACATAGGTATTTTATTATTCATGAATTATCACCTTAATTTCTGCAAGAAATTGAACTGCAACTATTAAATTACAAGCCTGAATTTTAAAGAGTAACAGCTTCTAACAAAGGTTTTTTTTTCAAGTAACTAGTATGATCATCAAGTACAACTAGCGGGACATACAGTTCAACCAATCCAAATCAGAATGGTGAGCCAACAGGGGCTAAAGTGATTAATTACGATGCACTAAAATAGCAACTAAGGCTCGAGATTTCAGGTATACTCACAAATGCGTCCGCAATTGGTCCTTTTTCCCCCGATAATACGCGCTTCAAGACTTCCGCATTATAAGCGGGGCCTCCACCTCTCAGGTCATCTAACGTACACCGAGGAATGCCAAAGTCCACTGGCCGACAGAAATTCCATCGAAAGAAACCAATACTCAAGATCATGCAAATATTGATAAGCATTGACAAACAGGAAAAGCATCATTCTTGATAGTGCTGCCTAATGGCAATTTTCACCATCAACACCACTAAATTATAATCTCATATTTTCGCTTGTCAACAGTTTGAGAGAAGATGAAAAGAAGATTCTTACATGGATCAAAGGAGAATTTGTCAATCTTCTCCGGAGTAACGTCAAGAACTAACCCAGCCCCTGATCATGAATATGACCGCAGTGAGATAGAACTTAAAAGGAGCAGATCAAACACACAAAAGGAAAGGCAAAGGAGTGCGGGTCTTGTTGCTGGAACTTTAGGTACCCAGCAGATAGGCCTATACTAGTGAACAAGACAAGTGAGGATTATCTTACCGAGAGGACTAATTTCATCCAGACCCTCTGAATGAACAACAAGCGCTCTCTTCATGCCAAATCGTTGCAGTGCCTTTGCCATTTTAAGAACCTAAAAGAATGCATGAGAAAACAATGAACAATTCTTTCGTAACTAGAATATTAAATAATCGCACGCATCAAATCGTCAAATGAGTATATAGAAACACTTAGCACCTCAGAAAACAGAAGAGAGCGATTAATTTCACCTAGATACTTCCCCCTTTTCAAAAGCCCAGATTATAATTAACCAAAACAGGATGAACTGCTAAGCATATATATCCTAACTGCTTACAATACCATAGCTAAAACTAGGCAAATGATTTTTCTGTGCAGAAAGACAATGACAATGTGTAGGCTACAGAGAAGGTGCAAAAGAAAATCAAGGAGACATGCCAGGTACTTTAATTGAGAATTAAGGAGAACAAGTCAAATACATGTAATCTTGAGTACAAGCGCAATTTCTGAACTATCATAAATAGATAAAATATAGACAATTAATGCGTGGGCACTTACTAGGTCATCTTTGTAGACACCAACGACAACAAAAGATACCCGTGCTGGATTCAACATAGGTCCTAGTACATTAAATACCGTTTTCACTTTCAGCTTCTTCCTCACAGGACTAACAATCTTCATTGCCGGATGATATTTCGGAGCCATCATAAAACCAATTCCTACTTCATCCACACATCTCTTGATCCCCTGATACAACAAAAAGAGTTGTATGAGGATGACCATGTGCATGCACCAAGCAGGTTAACGAGGCCATTTGTGCCATACTTCTAGAATTATAGAACTCGAACCACTTAGTTACAACAGATTTTATTTTCTATCTGATATAAATACCTCAAAGAAGAACCATGTTCCTTGAGTAACAAATCTAGCCATTAACATCTTGACTACAATGCACTAACCTTGGGTTCTAAGTCGATGGCAACTCCCAAGGCTTCCAATACATCAGCACTCCCGCATGCCGAAGAGCTCGAACGGTTCCCTTGCTGCATTGCAACCAATTTGTCAATGATATCTAGCTAGTCGCAATCAATGTCACTCTTGGAATTTATGTGGAGATCAATGTCACCTTTGCAACTTTGGCACCGCAAGCTGCAGCAAGTACAGAAGCACCGGTTGATATGTTAACCGTGTTGGCACCATCACCGCCTGTTCCGACAATATCTACCGCATCAACTAATCCTTCCACTTTCTTAGCATACTTGATCATTGCCCTTGCCAAGCCTACAACCTGTCTACATGTTATACGTTTACATTCGAGATCACCATAAGCAACAACACAGAACTCCCCAAAAGCATGGTCTAGGAACTCTTACCTCTTCAAAGGTCTCTCCTTTGGCTCTCAACAGCACAAGAAAAGCACTGATCAGTGCCTCATCAGCGTCCTTCAAAAGAAAGTCTAGAGACGCCTCGGCGTCAGCCTCAGATAGATCCTCACGACTAATCAAAGACTCAATCAACTGCAGAATCAAGAAAGCAACAAACCAACCAACCCCATCAACCCCAACCTCAAAAAAACACAAAAAGCGACCGAAAAACAGAACCCCTTGACTGTGAATTACCTCGTTAAATGATCCGACCTTTGGAGAAGAATTTGTGCCGACATCATCATGCACAGCACTAACCCCTACACTCCTGGCACGAGCAGTATTGGCGTAAGCGCGTCCGGCTGAAATCCCAGGTCGGAGACCGGTCACCTGCGCCAACCTCCGATGGGAAAATGAGGAGTGAGAAGAGACGGGAGGTTGTCGGAGAACCAGTCTCTCTGCCATGGCCAACGCTCCGAGATTCTCCTCGCTCCGCTTATAGAAATCAAGATATGGGACAGAAAGAATCTGATGGGTGTTGGGATGTGTAACTGTAGCCCGAGTAAGTGATGGTGCAAAGCAAATTACAGGCAAGAAGAAGAAGCTTGATTTGAAGTACAGCGGCTGCCACCAACTTCATTTCCCAAATGGGCAACCACGAGCTAATCTGCACAAAAGGTAAATAATCTATCAATATTTTTATGAAATTACCACATCTATTCGTGCTTTGTATTTTAACAAATTTTAGTACTAACTTTATTTGCATAACTTGCTTTAAATTTAATAACCTCCTAAATAAAATTATCAAGTCTAAATTAGAGTTTTGTTCTAACTTTTATGAGATTGAATTATCAACAAATTTTGTATCATCAACTCTCATTTGAATTGTTTGAACTCTGGAATAAAACCCTGTCGTGACCCTCTCAAATTGGGTTTTCTTTTGGGAAACGGCATAAGAAGAGTTCAAAGGTATTGCCTTGATTAGACGCGGGCTCTCCCGAATCAGATAAACTTAGCTAAATCTAAACTCACTTGAATGAAATCAAGCCCATATCTGCCAAACTTGTGAACATAACAAGACTCCATTTTTTCCCCTCTTTTCATTACTCCCATTGTCTTCCATGTCCACCTTCTATTCCCACAACTTCTTCTCACTATGCACGTGTATTCTAAAACACCAAAGCTTCAACAACGATAATCCACATGCAACACTTGACGAGAATGACACTATCTCCCATTAACCACCACTGGTCACTTATCTATGACAATCTCCCCTTCGGAACAAAATTGGTACCTCTTCCTAAGCAAACCAAACTCATTTTTATTGTGTTAAACTCCAACCATTAAGACCACAAGAAAGCCTCAAGCCCCTGACCAAGCCCCTCCCATTACTTCTTTTTAATAAATCCAGAGACTTTTTTTTTTTTTTTTGATGACCCGGGAACCGCCGTACAGCCGACAGCCGGCGACGTAAACCCGGGGTGACGCTAGCGCAGGACCCACCACCACGGCGCCACACTTAAGAATCCCTAACGACTAGGCTGGGATTCGAACTCCCCACCCTTCGTGAGAGGCAGAGAGCGCGAACCAACGCAGCCGCTGCGCGAACCAATCCAGGGACTTCTTTTGTTTTCCCTTTAACCCAGAAACTTCAATACTCACGTATCAATTTCAGAACAGTACAACTTCAACAATAGTGCCTACGTATCTCATCCTAAACCAAAATAACATGCTTTATCATCAAGTACTTCCGGTTGCCAGACCTTAACCATGAACCGCCAACCCTTCAACCATCCACCACCTCGAAATAGCATACATAAACATCATTTGACATACCCAAATGCATATGAACAGCATTCGACACACACCGACACTTGTAAACAGCGAACCATACACAACATGCCATCTACGATCAAATCATTACACGAAACATAAAATGCAGAACAGAGAGCAGATGGACCCAGCAATACTCTAAGCAAAGATGAAATATGGCAGAATTCATCCTCTTAATAACCCACCAAACATGGTGTCTATCGAGCAAAGCGATTTCAGTTCACGTATTTTATCGAGCAGGTGGTGAGCGAATCAGTCATACCATTCACACGCAAGTCTCATGTTGTAAACTCGACACAGCTACGATTTAAGGCTGGGAAAATCTCTGAGGACACAAACTAACACGAGCGAGTGACCCACATTGCAGGAGCAATACGTTAAGCGCGCGAAAAAGATTTCGGGCAAGCGGCAAATCATACGGGGGCGTGAGACCAAGTTTAGCATGATCGTTTTCCTACCTCGACCAAAACGAAACCTGCGAGAGAAAACCCACCTTGTTCGATCCGCGAATGAGCAAATCCAAACAGCAGAAGACCGCCAGACGGAGCGGAGCCAGAGTGTTGCCGGGAAGGTGGCGGGGGGACGAAGAGGAAAGACTGGAAACAAGAGCGTGTCTTGCTGATAGAGGGAGTGAAGTTCAATGTCCCTTAATCAAATATCTAAAAATAAAAAAGTTTAAAAAATTAATGAAATTCTAATTTTTTGATCATAGGTTAAATTCTTCGATTTAACGAAAAAAGTTAACATTTTGCCACTTTAATGGAAAATGTGAGCATCTAAAAGGCCTAATTCTACTGATACCTATATGTAATCAACATACTAAGGACACTAATCTAATTTTCTAGAGTCAAGAAATGAGTTTCGCCGCGATCAGGAATCTCAAATCTCGACTTTTCTAACTTTTAAATGTTGGGTAAATTCAGTTGTCGACAAACTCCAAGGGAGGGTAGGATCTTTCTATTTGTATCCTATTTGGCATGAATCTTTCTCTTTTTATTAAGCGATAAGTGCATTAAAAATCTTAAAATTTATCGCGAAAGTGTAATCGAGTTCTCAAATTTTCAAAAATGAAAATAAATCCTTCCTTTAATACTGTCAATTTGACTAATAGAAATGCCGACGTGAAATGTTTTTATTAGTTTATTTTTTAAATTTTATTTAAATCAGATTAAAGAACTAAAAAAAGGCTATAATTCTATTTAAAAACATAACAAAAAAAAAAGAAAAAAGAAAATGGCAAGGCCTCGCAAGTGGGGCGGCGCTGCCACTGCCACTGTCCATTGGCGGGGACCCTTGCTAGGCCCTAGGCGAGGGTGGCCAGCCCTCGCCTTGCCCTAGGACTGGCGACCCCTTGCTAGGCTCGAGTGAGGGCACCCAAATTTGGATGATGTTGGCCTTGGGGTCGGCGACCATTGCCTATCCTAGGTGAGGCCTTGTCAACCTTAAGTGAGGGTCGGCAACCCTCGCTAGGCTCGAGCGAGTGTCGCCGGCGTCGCCTAGATTTGGGCGCCCTCGCCCGGGCTTGGTGAGGGCCAGCCACCCTTGCTCTGCTGGCCTCCTCTAGGATGGGTGGCGATGGCAACAATGACCCATGGCAAGCCCTACCATTCTCTCTCTCTTTTTTTTTTTTTTATTTAAGTTTTGTAGTTTTAAATAATATTTTAGTTTTTTAGTTTTTAATATAATTTAAATAAGATTTGATGAAGAAAATAAAAAATGCCATGCAGTAGAGAAAAGATATTATAAAGAGTCGCGTCAGTATTTTTTGTTAGCCAAGTTGGACAGAGTTAACACAAAGACTTAATTGCATCAATTTGACAAGTTTTGGAATTTTATTACACTTTTCGAAAGTTTTAGGGCTCAATCGTACTTTTGCGACAAATTTTAAGATTTCTAGTACATTTATTCCTTTTAATAAACTAGAGGTAGAGTTCTTAGTTCATATTACATATTAATGTAAAATATAGGGACTCGATTACAATTAGAAAATTCCTAATTGTCGTTATTACATGACATGAGAAAATTCTATGAACTAAATTCGAGATTAAATGGGTTTGCCAAGTTCATTTTCGAACAAGGTCCTCTATAATTGTGGTCTAAATGATACTGGAATTGATCCTCAAATTCAACATTAGGAAGAAAACCAAAGAAGAAAAAACTAATTTCCAGCAACCTTCTCCAAAAGGAATAGGTTTTGCATATTCAAACAAAGTGAAAGACTGGCAAAGAAAGATATCAAGAGCCACCGTTGAGGCAATTCTCAACTTGAGAAGCCATCTGCTGGGGCCAAAATCTCATGCACATTGGTGCAGTTATCTTCTTCATGTTGAGCACAGAGGTGGGGAACCACCACAATCCATCTCCAAATATGAGAGCAGACCCAACAAAAGGTGCGAACGTCTCTGCTTGCGCCTTGTTCTTCCTCCTCCACATGTAGAAGATCAAGTACCCGACACACATGTCGATGGTGATGTAAGCTCCGACGTAGAATGGTATGGCGAAGGCCACGGGGATCGGTATCGTGTTCCTCCACTTCTTCGGCGTCGTGTCTCTGAGTAGGTTGATGAGAACGGCCGCGACAAGGAAGGCCAGACAGAGATCGAGGCAGTGCTTTGGCAGTGTCGAGAGCCCACTCGTTGCATGCATGGAGGCTTCCCTGAAACTGCTGGACCAAGCAGCTGGGAACCGGGAATGGGGTGTTCCGAACCCGGGGTTGTGGCTCCTGAGGTACAAGAAGATGGACGGAGAGATCACACACCCCATCAAAATCCCGATCAGTTTGCTCAGCAAGAGGGATTTGGGGGAAGAAAGTGTCATGTACCCAACTTTGAAGCTCTCCATCAGATCAGAAGCTATTTCCACCGAATTCATGATGACCCCACAAGCCGCGAGCCCTACTAGGACACTGCCCTGGGCCTTCCCGGCCCACGAAGCGAAGATGAAGATGGTCAGCTTCCCCAGGTTCGACGTTATGGACATGTCCGTTAAGCCGTTGGAGTACGCCTGGCAGAACCCCAGGACTGGGGAGATCAGGTATATGATCAAGATGTAGTACCATTTGAGAGGAGGGAAGAGGAATGGGAAAACCGCGGTGGATATGACGGAGATTGTAACGTAGCTGCCGACTGCCACTCTGTTTGGGATTAGGTCCTCGAGGAAGGTCTTGGTTCTGACCTCTTCATCATAGGAGACGGGTGATTTCTCATCGAAGGGATTCTCGGAAAGAGGCAAACCAGCGGCATTGCCAATTTTCTTATGCTCGAACAACCCGATAACGATGACCTTTATCATGTTGTAGACTGCGTCGCCAGTTATGATGGCGAGGCTAAGGAAGACCTGTGTGACATAATTAAATTCTAGACCATCAAATGAGGGGGGCAAAAGTGAGTAAATACGAATGAGCTATTGGTCAGAGACATCACCCGATAAGCTAGCCGGCCGCCGAGCCTTCTGGCAGTGGCATCTGCAGGATACCAGTCACCCTTCTTGGTATCTATGTAAGGCCACAGTATACCCCAGGAGAGAATTGCTCCAAGCAATTGGGAATAGGTTATCGCGAAGGGACACATCATTCCAACACCAATATATGATGAATGGAAGGAGAAATGGAAGCTGTTTTAGTAGCAGGAAGTGAGAAGAACTTCAAATGAACTTGCTTGTATTGTTGGCAGATAGTCAGTCCTCAACTATCACCTCTCTTGATTGCACGAAAACAGTAAGTTCAACCGAAACATGTATCGTTCGGCCAATGCATATATTTACGTCAAGTAGCAGCAATGTTGATATTTCCTTCTTTTCTATCTTTACTTTACAAAGACAGTACTTTTTCTAAGTTTTCCTAAAGATCAATTGCTCAAATTGCGAACAATTTATAGACAATACCTTCTTTGGAATGCTTTGAGACCGAAGGTGGGGAAGTAATGGAATCCGCAAGAGCTCCCTCCACTGAACAACCATTGATATACGCTCCAAAAAAAGCTGATTGTGAAGAATTTACTCAGAGTTGTCCCCTGTTTCCTGTTGGTAGATCGATGAAACATAGTGTTAATAATCGTTGCTAGTGCAGTTGTCCAAAAAATCGCACCAAAAAGGTGGAGTCGAGAGGAAGAATGAAAATGAAAAGGAAGAGAAAAAGTACCTGCCATTCAATTTGCCTCTCTGAGGAGCGTGGAAGCTATTTATTAAATTACCTGTTGCATATGCAGTTGGGTATGCCAACTTCTTGTCAATGAGCATGAACTGGGCACCAGAAGCTCAAGAAGTCACCAAATTGTTCACATCGACAATAACTTGACGATGGATCATTCACAAGGAAAATTAAAGAAGCAACACACTAGATTATTCCTACAACTAATCTCGGCATCATAAAATGCAGTACGTATACATCGTGTAATCAATGAAAATGTTTCGAACACTTTAATCAGTGATTTGAGCATATAATGCTTACCTTGCGAAGAGGCAATAGAGATAATAGACCGGCGGAACTAGTGAGAAAGAGAAACAGTATCATCCACCCCAAGCTGGGATTCTTGATATCATATGAATCAACCGGTCCCGGAATTTGCTTTGCGACAGTGTCACTCATGGCCAAAAGATAGCTTGAAAAGCCTCCTGTTTACGAGAGTTAAATCCAGTGATTTAACAGTCTAATTTTCCGATACTACTAAAAAACAAGCCAGGACATATCATCAGTAATAGGATTTATCTTGCTGCTAAGAGAGAACTCACCACTCAAAGCAATGCTGATGATGGAATCGACGCACGTATGAATGACGGTATTCTCTTGCCTCGTGAATGGCTGACTCAGCAAGCCGGTCGCATTTAGTAGCTTCGTCCATGTCGATATGAAGACAAAACCGAAGCCCCCGGCGAAGAGATTCACGGGAGGGATGAAATTTAACATCAGGTCCATCTTTAGGATATAAATGGTCAAGAAAGCTCCCATCGCACAGCTCACAACTAGAGCTCTCAATGTGAGCTGTCTCTGCCATGGTGGGACCTCCTTCCCTTTGAGTATGAACTCCAGGGAATGCAATTCGTGCGGCTTCTCTTCATTGTCCGCCGACGTCTCTGGTGCCAAGGTCTTGTAATTGAGAGGCCAGTCCTGACGGGCCATGTGAATCTTTTCGCCATCCTCGGTCACATTCATCCTGGTACAGTTCGAGGAGGATGATCGCGAAAAGCCTTTTCGTGTCGAGGAAAAAAAGATTCTTTCCGGCGAAGAAGAACTGGGTAATTAAGCTTTGAGGTTGTCCTGTACAGTTAGGATATGTTCAATCTATCCTGTTCCTTAGACATTGGTAAAGAAAAGAATTTGTTAAGTTGTTAAAAGTTGTTAAGGATATGATTTCTGTGGGCAATCGAAGACAGCCTGTGTTGAAACTGTGATGCATGCTCCTAACCTCCAGGCTTGTAGAAGAACATTCTGCCAACCCAGAATCACAATGCAAGCAACGGTCTCATACCCTTGACTATCATTTCAAGTGAAATACCTAAAACCTTCTAGAATATTCTGACACATAGAGTTATATATATTTATTATAATATCTCGAGGGTTGAGCACCAGTTCTGGATAAACCCTTTCTCTAGGGAACTGGTCCACTTTGGAACTGGCTATTTCCGCTCCGGTTTCCAATCCAGTGTTGAGAAACATCATAACTTTGATATAAGTTTGATGATAACATAGTTACATTATAAGATTTGACAATTAACATAATTACGTTATAAGATTTTGGAGGGATTTGATATTTATTTATCCAAGACTTCGAACGTGACAAATTTATCACTAAAATATCTTTTTTTTTTCCTTTGAGAAGGTACAAAATTATTATAGGTGGTTATGTTAAACATTAACTAAAAAAAAACTGTGGAGATCGTGATTGTAACACAAACTGATATGATCGCCGAAGTATTTATTTGAGTATTCATTTATTCAAATATAAAAACAAAACCAATTGTGATGGAAATTAACAACAGGAAATCTTAAGCAAATGTAGGTAGATTGAACAGATACCAATGTGAAATTTATTTATCTCAATTTTCTAGGTGAAGCAACATCTAGGAACATATTTTTTTTCTTAATAAACTTTGTGAAATCACAGGCGACTTTTTTTGGTTGATTGGGATTTCATTCTTATCATTTTATAATACTTTTTATTTGTAAATATGTGCTAACTAATGTATACTTTATTGTGACAATTTCTTCAAGACTTATCGAAATCTTTATAATACCGAAGCTCCTTCAAAAGTTCATTCAGAAGTTACTGTAGTCTTAAATTCAAAATTTATCCTCACCAATTATAAAGTGATAGGAATTTTTTTTTTGGTAAGGTATAAAGTGATAGGAATTTAATCTTGCCATATTTGAAAATTTTGAAATTTAAAGTAACAAGCCCTTAATTTTTTTTATGTCTTGTGTGAGTTGTAATTTTTTATAAGTATATAAAAACAATATATAATTAGAATTATCTATAATTACGTGTTTAATCATCACATCAATCATTAACTATGCAATTACTCATATCTATTTATAAACTATGGGAATTGCAAAGGATATAAAATATGTTTTCTCTATAAACATTATGTAATTATGGTTTTTTAATTTGTTAAAGTTTATTTTTTAATATTCATTTATTTTTAAATACGACATGCAATTTTCTAATAATTCTCTTATATAATTTATTCGTCAAATATGATCTATCATGTAAACTTAGTTCTTTCATGATAGTCTAATTAACATCATTTGTTTCTGAAAACATTTTTTCGAATTGTATATTAATATATAATTCAACTCTTTCAAATATATATTAATTGCAAAATCATAAGGGTTAACTCTAATTATTCATCATCACCAAGGTTACCACTGATTATGTTTTTAGTCGTATTTATTCGGGAAATATGCACAACCATGTAATTTGAGCATTTAAAATATGCTATAATATTTTTGTAATGATGAGTTTTTTAATAAATTATTGATTTAGTAATAATTATTTATCTATAAGAGATGAGTTATCATTCTTTAGTGATGAATTTCTTTTGTTTTTTTTTATCCTCTAAAGTCATTTATTTATCAAATAGAGGATGTCGTGGTATATAACTTTTTTAATGATCCTTCAACATCATATACATGCACTATCATGTCATAAAGACCTTTTAAAGTAATTGGTTTCTTCAATAACTATTCATATTAACGAGCAATTTACTATTAATTCATTTATTTTCAAATTATAAAATATGCACAAGTATGGGATATAACTCTCAGCCTTATTGTTATACTGATATTTCAATGTAGAATTTGTATTTACATTATTTAAAATCTTTATTACCAAAATATGTGTAATCATGAAATATAACTTTTTTTCATCTAATTATATATAGATATTGCAAAGTAAAAGGGAATCTATACATACATACACAATTTATGCATAAGAATAATAGATTTGCTAAAGTGACTATCAAGATTTCGTTGGGTAAAGCATGCTCATGCGCATGAGCATGAGCGTGCCAATGTAAATGTTGTTTTTTCTTTGAGAAGGCACAAGATGATTATCATATAGGTGGTTCCATTAAACATTAGCTAGGGAAACGCTGTTGTTACCGTCACACGAACTGAAATGATTATCGTGATTTTTTATTTTATTTATGAGAATTCATTAATTTTTGTTTTTGGTCAGATGAGAATTCGTTAATTCAAAACATGTAATTTTGCATATACGGTAGCGACGAAATGACGTAGATTCAGGATTCCGTATCATTATGAGACAAGTTATCCAAGTCGAGCTTGAATCATTTCGGGTTATAACAGGGTTTATCGAACTCGGGTTTGGACAAAGGGAACCGTCTCAAACCCATTCCTCGAAAGAGAAGATCTGTCTATTGTTCTTGAGTTATGGTCAGGGAAATAGAATCTCTACATTTGAGCCAAGAACATTGGCTGGTGATTCATTTTGAGTTCAACAAATTTCAAGTTCAGATCTTTTTATAGCTGTGCACTTACTTGAATTTTGCTATTTCTTGTGGAATTTTTACTCGAAGCAATCCCAACTGGAAAACAATAAACGTGTGAAGACATAGGATTTGTTTCTTGCCTTGTGATTTTGGGCTGTCAAAATGGTTTGACATGCTTGGGAGCTATGCATCACATTCTCAGCACAGGCTGTCTTCAAATAACCAAAGAAACAGCTTTTAAGAAATTGTAACAACATGCAGTTTTTTTTCTTTTCCCAATGTCCAATGAACACGAGAGACTCAACATCACCTAACCTCAAAACCTGTTTGCTTAATCAAATCACCTTGTTGTTGTTCTATTCAGAAAACTCTCTCTTTCTCTGTACAAACAAAGGCCTCTGCGAATGGTCACCTTGATCTGTACTTTAAAACGATGAAGGTGACCGAGGATGGTGAAAATATCGACCTCAACCATAACGATTGGCCTCTGAATTATAATAATCTGAAGGAAGAGGTGGGGAATGAAGAGAAACCGCCCGAATTGCATTCCGTAGAGTCCTTATTCGCAGACAAGGAGATCCCACCTTGGCAAAGCCAACTCACATTGAGAGCTCTAGTCGTGAGTTGTGCAATGGGAGCTTTCTGTACCATTTATGTCATAAAGATGGACCTGATGTTCGCAGTAATCCCTCCAGTGAACCTCTTCGCAGGATTCTTCGGTTTCCTCCTCATATCGACATGGACAAAGTTATTGAGTGCAGCTGGCTTCATGGGCCAGCCGTTCACGCGGCAAGAGAACATCGTCATTCAAGTATGCGTCAATGCCATCATCGGCATTGCTTATAGCGGTGAGCTCTCTATTAGCAGCAAGAATCCTGTCATTGGAAATCTGTCTGGACTTTCTCTTTTAATAGCCTTGGGAAATGAGAGGGTTGTGTAATTACTCTAGTTTATTCCTATAAACAGGAGGCTTTGCAAGCTATCTTTTTGCCATGAGTGACGTTGTCGCGAAGCAAATGCCCGGACCGATCAATGCTAATGACATCAAGAATCCCAGCTTCGGGTGGATGATGCTGTTTCTTTTGCTCTCTAGTTCTGCAGGCCTATTTAGTCTATTGCCTCTTCAAAAAGTAAGCATATATGCTCAAATTGCTGATTATAACGCTTCAAACATTTTCATCGAATACAAAGTTCTAGCTCAGCTGCATTTTACGGTTTGAGATTACTCATTAAGAAAAAATTAGCGTGCGATGTTTCTCCGATCTTCGTTAAAATAATGCAAGAAACTATTATCCCAAGTTCATTAAAAAGACTCAACGTGTGTTGATTCATTGTCAGTATGAAAATTTGTGTTACATTTTGAGTTTTTGGTACCCAGTTTATGCTCATTGACAAGAAGTTGACATTCCCAACCGGATCTGCATCAGCTAACTTTATAAACAGCTTCCACGCTCCTCGGAGGGGCAAATTGAATGGCAGGTTCTTTCTCTCTTCCTTTTCATTCTTCCTCATCAATAAAATCATATTTTCTTGTGGTTTTCCACAAGAGTGCATAAGTAATAACTACTAGCCCAACGTTTCTCAATCCGCCAACAGGAAGCAGACCAAAAAACTGAATAGATTCTTCACAATTAGCTTTCTTTGGAGCATATTCCAATGGTTATACAGTGGAGGTGACTCATGCGGATTTAATAATTTCCCCACTTTTGGACTCAGAGCATTTCAAAGGAGGTAAGGGTTCACAAGTTTCCATCGTTCGAATAATCACTCTGTACCGAAACCTAAAAGGAGCAGTCCTTTCTAAAGTGACGGGGGACAAAGAAACAAAGACATGAAAGAGTCTATACTATTGCTACTGAATGTAAATAAATACATTGGTTGAACCATACATGCTTTGGTTGATATCAAAGTTTCAGCCGATACAAGAAAGGTGATAACTGAGGACTAATACATGCCTGCAACGCTAGCAAGTTCCTAACCGCGAGCTTTTCCTCATTTCTGGTGACCAAAACAGCTTCTATTTCGACTTCTATTCAGCATATATTGGCATTGGAATGATGTGTCCGTTCGTAATAACCTATTCACAATTACTCGGAGCAATCCTATCATCGGGTATATTGTGGCCTTACATACAGACCAAGAGCGGTGACTGGTATCCTGCAACAGTCGCTCCGAGAACTCTCAGTGGCCTACAAGCTTATAAGGTGATGTCTCTGACCAATAGTTCAATTTCCATTTAGTTTGTTGTTGGAGTATGCCTGAAGAGCATACACAAATAATCCGCGACATCTTGATTTTGTCTCCCTCATTCGAGGGTTTAAATTTTGATTATGTTGAGCAGGTCTTCATCGGCCTTTCCATCATAATTGGTGATGGAGTCTACAACCTGATAAAGATAATTGTTATTGGGTTGCTCAAGCATAAAAACAGCGACAATTCTTCTGCTTTGCCTGTTGCTGCGAACCCCTTCCATGGAAATACCACCGTGTCCTATGATGAAGAGGTCAGAACCAAAACCTTCCTCAAGGACCAAATTCCAAAGAGAGTGGCGATCGGCGGCTATGTTGCAATAGCTATTACATCTGTAGCAGTATTCCCATTCATCTTCCCTAGTCTCAGATGGTACCACGTGTTGACCCTTTACCTGATTTCCCCGCTGTTAGGATTATGCAGAGTCTACGTGGCCGCTTTAACCGACATGTCGGTATCATCGGTTCTTGGGAGGACGGCCATCTTAATCTTCAGTTCGTGGACCGGAAAGTCCAGCGGCAGCGTCCTAGTTGGGCTGGCCGCTTGTGGGGTACTAAAAAATCTCGTGGATGTAGCTTTCAATACGATGGAGTCCTTCAGACTAGGGTACATGACACTTTCCTCCCCCAAATCCCTGTTCCTGAGCCAACTGATTGGGACTTTAGTGGGCTGTTTGGTGTCTCCTTACATCTTCTTGTACTTCAAGAACCACTACCCAAATGGGTTCGGAACAACTGATTCCATGTTTCCGGCTTCCTGGGCCAGCGGTCAGAGAGCTGCCGCCGTGCGCGCAACAAATGGGTTCTCGATGCTGCCAAAGCATTGCCTCCGTCTTTCCCTGGCGTTCTTTTTCGCAGCCATTCTCGTCAGCTTGCTCCGAGACTCGACGCCGAAGAAGTGGAAGAGTTTGATACCGATACCCATGGCGTTCGCCGTGCCGTTCAACGTCGGAGCTTATCTCAGCATTGACATGTGCGTTGGGTACCTGGTCTTCTACCTGTGGAGGAGGAAGAACAAGGCCCAAGCCGAGGCACTGGCTCCTTTTGTAGGGTCTGCACTGCTGTTTGGAGATGGGTTGTGGATGTTTCCCAGCACTGTGCTCAGGATGAGGAACATAGTTGCACCAATGTGCATGAGGTTTCTGTCCAAGGATATGAGTGCTCAAGTTGAAGATTGCCTCCATAGTGGTTCTTGATTTCCTTCTTTTTCTATTTTTGCAGCAATTTATATTGGATGTAAAATCAAGAAGAGTGAGGATTTGGAACAAATAACACTCCCTTTTTGTCATTGGAGATGGGGAATGAACCCGACTTCTTTAAAATTTTTGACCCTTTTTTACTTATTTACAAAAGAGATGGATAAACAGGTCTATGATATAGGAAATTGTGTAATATTATATTAAAAATACATGTTTTCTCCATAAACATTATGCAATTATGGTTTTTGTATTTTGCTGAAGTTTTTTTTTTAATGTTCATTTATTATCAAAGACGACATGAAATTTGTTTAATAATCCTCTAGTATAATTAATTTATCCGTCAAATATGAAGTATCATGTTAAATACAGTTGTTTTTATGACAGTCTAATTAACATCATCTGTTCTATGAAAACTTCTTTTAAATTGTACATCAATAAATAATTCAACTCTTTCACATATATCTAAATTGCAAAATCATAAGAGTTAACTCTAATATTTCATTTAACAAAAGAGTTACCACTAATTATGTTTCTAGTAATATTTATTCATGAAATATGCACAATCATGTAATATGACCATTTAAAAAATTACGCTCAAATTTTTTTGTGATGATTGGTTTTAAATTAAATTAGTTATAATTCTTTAGCGACGAATGTTTAGTTTGTTTCCTCTAAAGTCATTTATATACCCAATAGAGGGTGTCTTGTTATATTACTCTCTTAATGATCCTTTAATCAATTGGTTTCTTCAATTAATATTCATATGCTAAAATATGCGCAATCACGAAATATAACTTGCAGCCGCATTCTTATATAGATATTTGAAAATAGAATTTGTATATTCATAAGCAATTATTTAAACCATTTACCACCGAAGAATGTGCGATAATGTAATACAAGTTTTTTTCATCTAATTATATATAGATATTGCAAAGCAAAAGGGAATCCATACATGCATAAACAATATATGCATACGAATCGGAGATTTGCTGAAGTGACCATCAAAAGCAAATAGAATGGTAAAGCTCGCGTGAATGTGCTTGTATAAATATGTATTTTTCCTTGAGAAGGCACAAGATTATTAATTTATTACGTATGCAGTCCCATCTAACGTTAACTTGAAAAAAATATAATTTTCACCTTGGTTGCAACACGAACTGAAAGGGCTATCGTAACATTTTTTTTTTTTGAGAATTCATTTGTTCGAAACATATAATTCTGCATATACAGTAGCAACGGATTGATGCAGGTTTCAGAGTTCCATATCATCGTGAGACAAGTTATCCAAGTCCCGCTTGAATTAATTTCGGGATGTAGCCGGGTTTATCGAACTTGGATTCTGACAATGTGAACCATCTCAAACCCATTCTTCGAAACAGAAGATCTGACTATTGTTCGAGAATTATGGTCAGGGAAATAGAATCTCTAGATTTGAACCAAGAACATGGGTTGATGTGTCAAATGCATATGCAATGCAGCAAAGGCAAAACCGCAGTTGAGTTCAACAGATTTCAAGTTCAGATCTTTTTACAGCTGTGCTCTTACTTGAATTTTGCTATTTCTTGTGGAGTTTTTACTCGAAGCAATCCCAACAGGAAAACAATAAACGTATGAAAATATAAGATTTGTTTCTTGCCTTGTAATTTTGGGCTTCCAGGTGTTTTAACAGGCTTAGGTGCCATGCATCACGTTCTCAGCACAGGTTGTCTTCACATAACCAAAGAAACAGCTTTTAACAAATTCTAACAACCTGCAGTTTTCTTCTTTTTCCAATGTCCAAGGAACACGAGAGACTCAACATCCCCTAAATACAAAACCTCTTAGCTTAATTACCTTGTTCTTGTTCTTTTCAGAAAACTCTCTTTCTCTGTACAAACAAAGGCCTCTGAGGTTATTCACCTTGATCTGTACTTTAGACGATGAAGGTGACTGAGGATGGTGAAAGGATCGACCTCAACCAAAACGATTGGCCTCTGACTTATAATAAGCTGAAGGAAGAGGCGGGCAATGAAGAGAAACCGCACGAATTGCATTCCGTAGAGTTCTTATTCAAAAACAAGGAGATCCCGCCATGGCAAAGCCAACTCACATTGAGAGCTTTAGTTGTGAGTTGTGCAATGGGAGCTTTCTTAACCATTTTTGTCATAAAGATGGACCTGATGTTGGGACTAATCCCCCCAGTGAACCTCTTTGCTGGATTCTTCGGTTTCCTCATCATATCGACATGGACAAATTTATTGAGCGCAGCTGGCTTGATGGGCCAGCCATTCACGAGGCAAGAGAACGCTGTCATTCAAGTATGTGTCAACGCCATCACGAGCGTTTCTTATAATGGTGAGCTCTCTATTAGCAGCAATATCCTGTCATTAGAAATCTGTCTGGACTATCTCTTTTAATAGCCTCGAGAAATGACAAGGCTGTATAGTTACTCTAGTTTACTCCTGGAAACAGGAGGCTTTGCAACCCATCTTATTGCCATGAGTGACGCTGTCGCGAAGCAATTCCCCGGACCGGTCAATGCCAATGACATGAAGAATCCCAGCTTCGGGTGGATGACAATGTTTCTTTTGCTCTCTAGTTCTGCCGGCCTATTCACTATGTTGCCTCTTCGAAAGGTAAGCATGTATTCTCAAATTGCTGATTAAAACGCTTCAAACATTTTCATGGAATACAGAGTTCGAGCTCATACATAGTTACATACTGCATTTTACGGTTTGTATTGAGAATCAAGTGGATGCCCTGATTAAAATGAGCACTCTCTCAATGTTGTTAAGAACACTCAACACCACTTACACGCTAAACAATATATTATATGGAGACTTCTGAGTATAAACACGGTGGAGACTCTTTTCAACTCTCACAATGCTCGCACCAAGTGTTTGCTTCACTCTTGCTTGAAACAAATCGGAGTGGGTCTTCTTAGTGTTAAGCTGGTGGAGGAAGTCTCCGAACTCTTCTGATATAAATATCTGCTAAACTAAACATTACACCGCAACTTGCTTTGGCTGATTTATCTTTAAAGAATCCTGGAGGTGGCGTAGAAGTCTTCACACAAGTTGGCAAGTTAGCTTGACAACCTGTTGGTTGATTTTTCTTTAGAGAAATCTGGAGATGGCAACTGCTAAAAGAGAAAAATCTGGGAATAGGAGAGAGAGAGGCGGTGCTTCTCAGATTGAGATTACTCATCGAGTATAAATTAGTGCGTGCGTGTGCTGTTTCTCTGATTTTCATTAAAATAATGCGAAAAACTATTATACCAAGTTCATAAAAGACTCGCTGTGCGTCGAGTCATTGTCGGTACGAAGATTTGTTTACTTTTTGAGTTTTCGGTACCCAGTTTATGATCATTGACAAGAAGTTGACATTCCCAACCGGATCTGCATCAGCTAATTTTATAAACAGCTTCCACGCTCCTCGGTGGGGCAAATTGAATGGCAGGTTCTTTCTCTCTTCCTTTTCATTCTTCGTCATCAATAAAATCTTTTTTTTTTTCTTGTGGATTTCCATTCGACTTGCACAAGTAATAACCACAGACACGATGTTTCTTGATCCGCCAACAGGAGGCAGACCAAAAAACTGAATAGATTTTTCACAATCAGCTTTCTTTGGAGCATATTCCAATGGCTATACACTGGAGGTGACTCATGCGGATTCACAAATTTCCCCACTTTCGGACTCAAAGCATTTCAAAGGAGGTATGGGTTCCCAAGTATTCGTCATTTGAGCAATCACTCCGTACTGAAACCTAAAAGGAGCACTCTCTTTCTAAAGTAAAGGGGGACAAAGAAACAAAAATCTGATCGAGTCTATACTATTGCTACTGAATATAAATAAATACATTGGTCGAACCATGCATGCTTTGGTCGACATGAAAGTTTTTGTGGAAACGAGAGAGGTGATAACTGAGGACTAATACATGCCTGCAACACTAGCAAGTTCCTAACGGCGAGCTTTTCCTCATTTCTGATGACCAAAACAGCTTCTATTTCGACTTCTATTCAGCATATATTGGCATTGGAATGATGTGTCCGTTCGTAATAACCTATTCACAATTGCTCGGAGCAATCCTCTCATCGGGTATATTGTGGCCTTACATAGAGACCAAGAGTGGTGATTGGTATCCTGCAGAAGATGCTCCCACAACTCTCAGCGGCCCTCAAGCCTATAATGTGATGTCCTTGACCAATAGTGCAATTTCCAGTTACTTGCTTGTTTGCATTTGTGTGAAAAGCATAATAACCAAGCAATCTGCGAAATCTTGATTTTGTCTCCCTCATTTGATGGTTTAAATTTTGATTATGTCGCGCAGGTCTTCATTGGCCTCTCCATCATAATTGGTGGTGGAATCTATAACCTGATAAAGATCATTGTTATTGGGTTGACCAAGCATAAGAAAAGCGACAATTCTTCTGCTTTGCCTGTCGAGAACCCTTTCCATGGGAAAACCCCTGTCCCCTGTGATGAAGAGGTTAGAACCAAAACCTTCCTCAAGGACCAAATTCTGAAGAGAGTGGCGATCGGCAGCTATGTCACAATAGCTATTATATCCGTAGCAGTTTTATCATTCATCTTCCCCGGTCTCAAATGGTACCAAGTGTTGACCCTGTACCTGATATCCCCCTTGTTAGGATTCTGCAGAGCCTACGCGACCGGTTTAACTGACATGTCGATATCAATGTTTTATAGAAATCCGGCCATCTTAATCTTTGGTTCGTGGGCCGGAAAGTCCAGCGGCAGCGTCCTAGTTGGGCTTGCCGCTTGTGGGATACTCATGAATTTCGTGGCGGCAGCTTCCAATATGATGGAGTCCTTCAAACTAGGGTACATGACACTTTCCTCCCCCAAATCCCTGTTCCTGAGCCAACTGATTGGGACTATAGTGGGCTGTTTGGTCTCTCCTTACATCTTCTTGTACTACAAGAACCACTACCCAAATGGGTTCGGAACACCTGATTCCGTGTTTGCAGCTTCCTGGGCCAGCGATTATAGAGATACCGCCATGCGTGCAGCAAATGGGTTCTCAACACTGCCAAAGCATTGCCTCAGTCTTTCTCTGGCGTTCTTTTTCGCAGCCATTCTCGTCAGCTTGCTCCGAGACTTGACGCCGAAGAAGTGGAAGAGTTTGATACCGATACCCATGGCGTTCGCCGTGCCATTCAATGTTGGAGCTTATCTCAGCATTGACATGTGCGTTGGGTACTTGGTATTCTACCTGTGGAGGAGGAAGAACAAGGCCCAAGCCGAGGCACTGGCTCCTTTCGTTGGGTCTGCCCTGATGTTTGGAGATGGGTTGTGGATGTTTCCTAGCACATTACTCAGTATGAAAAACATAATTGCACCAATGTGCATGAGATTTCTGTCCAAGGAGATGAGTGCCCAAGTTGAAAATTGCCTCAACAGTGGTTCTTGATTCCCTTCTTTTCAGTTCTTGCAAAGAAATTTGTGACTCCCATTACCTACCAAACATATACACCTGTGGAGAAGTCTGCATGTAATTAATTCTCTTTGTACCCTCCCGGTGTCATCAGATCAAGGGTACAGTTCATTTTTCTAGCACCCTAGTTGTATTGCCCGTCCTTTGCACGGACTTATTTTCGGATCAATTTTCGCGTTTTTCGTTATAAGAAAAGACGTTTTTACCCATGAAACGCTTCTGTCATAGGTACTAAAAAACATAAAAAAGCATCAAAATGAGCTCTTATGATAATGTAAGAAACATAACTCAAACCTGGTCTATCCTAAATTGTTAGCCAAGTTCTATTCATATAACCTTATTCTTGCCGAGCATTGCCCTTGTATGAAATCGAGGGTCGATGGCAAAGCGGTTGCTGAATCCCCAAGCGAGATGGGGGCGGAGAGATATACAGTGATGGTAGCGATTGAACTGTAGCAAGTATTTGAAATTCTAGAGGAATGTTGACTTGTTCTCGCTCAGCCTATATATACGTGATTGTGATTCTTGAGGCTCTTATGGGCTTCTGAAGGATCGAGGGATCCTTACTTGTCTTCGTCCCTCGTTGACCCCCTTGCCACCCATTTTGATCAGCCACGCCCGCGAATCGCAGCTTCTTGAAAGAAAAATCCCGACTTTACCCAAATCGCACCCTAATCGACGGGATTAGCTCCTACCCATTTGGGCAGTGTCCATGGAATTGTAAATCCCACGTCGGACGCAAGACGTTCGGATTCGCAGGTTCGGTTAATTTGTTTCTTGTTTCTTTCTTTGTTGGGTTCTTCCTGTCGCGGAGCATCGGTGCGTTCGAGATTTCGTTTCTTGGATCTGTCAAATGATAAATGGGGTGGGGGGTCGCGAGGAATCCTCCGTAGTCGCCCCTCCCGATCCGTTGGATGCCCGGAACTCGAAGGCGGATGGCGACGGTGACGGGGATTCGCCGCCGTCCCAGTACTCGTCCTGCGGCGAATCTGAGTTTGAGCGCTATTGCAGCGCGAACTCGGTCATGGGGACGCCCAGCTTGTGTAGCTCGGTGAATTACACGGATTGTTTGGAGTCTGAGTTCGGGTCTTTCAGAAGCTCGGGGTTTGGGGATGATGGTGGTTTGGAGGGTTTTAGCTTGGGAGAGAAGCTTGAGAGGAATTTTGGGGAGAGGAGACCTGAGTCTAGTGTTCTCGGGTTTTATAAAGAGGAAGTCTTTAAAAATGAGGTGAAGTTAAGCGACGGAGCAACTGGGGTGGATTCACGTGATAGCGAGGCGTTTGAGAGTACTACACCTCATGGATTGAGGTCGACTACAGTTTCCGACAATTCAGGTGAAGGCGGTTCTGAGGGTGGTCGTGTTGGAAATGCTTCTGATCATGGTTTTACTAGTAGGTTGAGTTCTGGACATGATTTGCATATGGTTGGGGGAGAGTGGGGGAGGGAGGACGAAGAAGGATCAAGCTTGTGTTGCCGCTCAGAAGACGAGGATTCGATGTATAACTGCGGTTCAGATGATGAGTGCAGGAAGGATCTTTCTTACTTAAGGAATGCACGGCATATTCAGAATCGGGAAACAAAGGACGGGGATGTGAATCCACTGGTTATGAACTCCTCTGTTGCCTTTGGTGCAGATGACTGGGATGATTTTGTTGAAGAAGCAGGCGAGACTTCAGTTGGTTCATTGATGTTAGATATGGTGAATGGGCAGAGACAACTAAGTCACAAGAATGGGTTCCTTTCAGATGTTGGGCAAATGGCACAAGAAGATGTGGCAGACTTAACCACAGCCACCGAAGAACTTCAAGGTGCTTCTGAAGGTGTAAAAGGTACCCTTGACCAATCTCTGGCTCCGTTTTCCTCTATGCAATCATGGGATTCGGAGCATGTCCAAATGAGGGATGTTGCCTTGCCCACTGATGGAGCACTAGCCTTTGATAGATCGATAGGAAACATAGAAGGTTTTTCGACAGCCAAAATCAGTGCTTGTAGTGTCTGTGATTCATATAAAAAAAATGTCAGGGACATCGGTATTGCCAGCAATCAAGTCACAGTAGTTGATGAATCAGAAGAGTATCTGAATGGTTGTTCCATCACCAACGTCTTTGAAGTGGACCCAGACCCAATAGTAGAGAGAGCTCATTTAGAACTAGAAGGAGGTCTTGGCTCTATGGAGTTTAGCCAGGGGAAAGAGCCTAGTAGCTCTGAGCTTATTAGCTATAATGATGGTCCATATTTGGAGGGGAAAGAACCTGAGCTTTTCGATGAGAAACTGGATCCACTTTCAGAACCAAATGTGGATCAGCTTCATGAGAATCCATCCTCATTGACTTTGCAAACTGAAGATATCTTTGAATCGAAAGGTTTCATGCACTCAGAAGATCTCTTGCAAGACCAAACTTCACAGGCTAAGGTCAGTTGAGTTCTTTTGCTATGTATTTATCCAGAACCTGCAACTAATTTAGGTGATTTGTTTTTTTTGGTAAGGAATTTAGGTGATTTGTTCATGTTTATTTTTTTCTAAATTTTGATAGTTCGGTTTTCTTTTGCTATTGATAGTTGCTAGGGCGTGATAGTTTTCTTTTTCTTAATAAATCGGCACCGCAGAAGATGCAAGGTGCAGAGTCATATGAATTTCACTTGTTAAATTCTAGGAGATTGACTGGAAGAGACTAATTTCAGCCAGGAAGAAAGAGTATTGCAAGAGGTTGCAGAATGGTAGTGGAGCATCTGCATCCCCAAACTTAGTGTGTTGTTCCCGTCCTTTGAAGTAGAAGCTTCTCTATCTGGAAAGCTATTGTACAACTATCCTTCCTAATTTGACGGGAAGTGAGCAACTGACATGATCTGTTTTTTTTTTTTTATGACATCAAAATATTGGTAGACCTCCCCGCACCTGAAGTTCCAACATTTGCTCCCCTTTTGACTATGCATAATGAAAAGCTTTTCTTTGTATATGAAGTTTATGTTTTCACTAGCTATCACATGCCCCTGAAATTGTTGATGCCTTGCATTTCTGTGGACTGTACTGCATGGTTCGATGCTACTCGAGCAACTTATTTTTATTATTTCTTTATGCACCATGTTTTTAGTAGCGTAACTCCTGCTGACTATATGTCTTTGCTCTTCTATTGATGTCATTTTGCAATTTTAGACAGAGACAGTTGAACTGCATGAATTCATTGATGATGTTATTCACGATATGGAAGAAATTCTACTTGATTCTGCCGAGTCTCCTGGATCCAAGTTTCCAGTTCTCACTCAAGATAAGAAGACTTCTACACCGCAGTTGACTCTACCCTCAAGAGATGGTGGGTCGACTGCTTCAACCTCTGGCAATGATGATATTGACACATTTAAGCACAAGGTGATGAGAATTGATGGGGCAGAAGTGATTGGGGCAAGGCAGAAGAAGGGGGATGTCTCACTTAGTGAAAGACTGGTTGGTGTGAAGGAATATACTGTGTACCGAATAAAGGTGTGGAGCGGCCAGGATTATTGGGAAGTTGAAAGGCGATACCGTGAGTTTTTAACCCTCTACCGCCGGTTGAAAGATATATTTGCTGACCAAGGCTGGATTCTTCCCTCTTGCTGGTCCTCAATAGACAAGGAAACCAGCAATTTCTTTGGAAGTTCCTCACCTGATGTTGTTGCAGAGAGAAGTGGAATAATTCAAGAGTGTCTATGCTCTATTCTCCACCCCAGATTTTTCTCTGGCTGCCATAAGGCACTCACATGGTTTTTGTCTCCTTTAGATTCACATCCGGGATCTCCTGAATCAAATAGACTGGTTCATCAGTCTTCATTTGATTCTAGAGGGACAAATGCAGAAATCACATCTCCTTTAGGGAAGACAATTTCACTCATTCTTGAAATTCGTCCACACAAATCAATAAAACAGATGCTAGAAGCTCAGCATTATTACTGTGCCGGATGCTACAAACATTTTGATGACAGCAAGAATCTAATGACAGACTTTGTGCAGTCATTAGGCTGGGGTAAGCCTCGACGATGTGAATACACGGGTCAGTTGTACTGTTCTTCCTGCCATACAAATGAGGCTGCAGTCTTACCTGCAAGAGTGTTGCACAATTGGGATTTTGCAGAGTATCCAGTTTGTCAATTGGCCAAGTCATATCTGGACTCCATTAATGACCAAGTAATCAATTTTTTTTTAAACCTTCAGCATCTTATGCTGCATTGTGCCAATATCTACCTCATTTCCATGAACCAGATTCTTCTTTGTGTTAGGACAGAAATGCTTGCTGTGGTCAATAGACTTAATACCATCCGTCTATTGTATAGGTGCCTCCTTTTTTTCGCTAATGTCTTGTATTTTCTTTTCCAGCCCATGCTTTGTGTCAGTGCGGTAAATCCTTTTCTCTTCTCAAAGGTTCCAGCCCTTCTCCATGTCATGGGTCTTAGGAAAAAGATAGGATCTATGCTGCCTTGTGTTCACTGCCCATTTCGGAGGTCCATCAATAGAGGACTTGGGTCTCGCAGATATCTTCTCGAGAGCAATGATTTTTTTGCCCTAAGAGATCTGATCGATCTTTCTAAAGGGGCATTTGCAGGTTACCTTCTAATTAGTAACTTCTTTTATTGCAGATGGTTTAATCTAATATGATTTGTGTTTCTTGCAAAGATTGATGCCTGAAGATGACCGTCAATGTACTTCTATATTCTAAGTTAAAGTTTGTGCTCTTGGAGTAGTATCTTGAATGTTGGATCAGTTGCTGGGCATTGCATGCTTCACATTCGATTTTTCCTTTACGAAGCTATGGATATCTTGAAATCACAGTTCATATACAATTGATCATGTTCACAGTCAACTGGCTTTAACTTGTTTCTAGTCTGTTGCTGTTGAATGGTGTAAGCGTAACATATGTCTGCTGGCCTGTTAGTTATATCCACGTGGCTGCAAGTATAATTAATGTTAATCTGTCGGATTGCAGCTCTCCCGGTGATGCTGGAAACTGTCTCAAGGAAGATCCTGGACCATATTACAGAGCAGTGCCTCATATGTTGTGATGTGGGACTCCCGTGTGGTGCCAGACAAGCCTGCAATGATCCTTCCTCACTCATTTTTCCTTTCCAGGTAGGCACTGAGAAACTTTGGTTTCACATTCACCTCGGAAGTCCAAAAATGTGCATAGCCTTATGTCACTGTGTGGTAATCAATACGCAGACATCAATGGATCTTGATGAGGCTGATTGAAGCGCACATACACCAAGATTTGATAGTTTGGACATGTAAAATACAAACACAGAAAAAGACAGAATTGTTTTTTTGAAAGTGAAATAGATATTCAATGTTCTACTGGGAATTTCTCGATATGTCGGTGAAAGCTGGCTAATCCTAGGTTTTGACAATTGACTGTTAATAAATTGCTGCGTGTTATCAGTGATGCCCTCATATAATGAGCGATACATTGATTGCCATATTTTTGCTGACCCATGACCTAAATAGGAAGTTTTTTCTCTTTCAAAACAGGAAGACGAGGTTGAAAAGTGTAAATCTTGTGAACAATTGTACCACAAGCAATGCTTCAAAAAGCTTGGGACATGCCCATGTCGGTCACAACTGGAGGTGTACGAGTCTCTAGAATCCTTTAAGACGGGAAGTGACATTGCTAGCAATGAGATGAATGGAGCTCTAGTTTTGCCAAGAAGTAGATCAGGTTCTGTATATACTTCTGGACTACTTTCTGGACTTTTCTCTAAGGCCAATTCTGGTAAGTCGAAAGACCATAAAGGAGGAGGCAATGTTATTCTAATGGGTTCTCTACCGAGCACTTCTCTGTAATTCCTGTAATTATTTTGCAACCAAACAGGATATATTTTTTTGCCTTTTATACTTGATGGACTTAAAATCTTGTTCTGCTGCTCTTGGTATGAATTGAATAATTGGAGCAGGGGAAACGATAGGTTGGGGAATTTGAGATTTGTTTGTTTGTTTGTTTTTTTTTGGGATTGTAGTTGTAACACAAACCGACAATCATTAGCTGTGTAATTACCAATGTATCAATTGTATTGATAGATACATTCTCATTTTTGCAATCTTTTCAGGTTATCCTTCTTGTTCCTTGCTGTTTATTTTGATCATTCATTTAATGAGACCCTCAACTGAGGGGGTGTTTCTCTTTGGGTACTCTCTGGGTTGAAACAAATTACAGCTACATTTGAAATCCAGTAACAAAGAAGGATGACTGCAAACACTCCAGCACTGTTCAAGGATGACTCTCTGATATCTTTTCCTTTTTTAATGGTCGAGAATCCTCCTGAGACCGGTTATATCGCGATTCACTCTCCTCCGCTCCAAATTGGGCATGAACTCTCGTGATTGCGGCATTGATCTGCTCGCATGAAATATGATGTAAAGGGAAAGCACAAGGTGAACAACTTCTCTTTTATGGGGTCCTGGCCGACCTTTTGAAAAGGATTATTAAAATAGCTGATGTTGGTGAAAGCAATAGAGGTTGTCCTAAAGCAACGGAGTGTTATTATTTCTTTCTTTTGATGATTGACGATTCTTTGCCTCACCCCAAATCAGCAAAGCAGTTGTAAAGTGAACAAGTGTCCTGATTCTTTGCCAACTTTGACCATTTCCTTTTCTGACAAGTTATGCCCCACCTGTTGCAGATTGTTTAAAGTGTGGCCTAATATGGGTTACGCCTTTCTAAGTACAGTCACCATGAACAAAGTTATGGTTGATTAAGGTGATATGTGATTATCAGATCATCACCTTCTGAAAGAGTCATCATGGTAAAAGTGACAAAACGGAGCTCATATCTCAGGGAAGTAATGAAAGCATATGAACTAGACCAGCCTAAGAAAAAATCAACATTTCGGTAATGAATTTTCTGTGACCAAATACTTACAGGTATGCCACATATTAAGAAGTGGCAGTATTGAACAAAGCAATAATGGTTCTGGTTTTTCCTGCTTATCTCCCACCTCTAAAAAACTTCCAAAAATCATATGTTGTATGATATATATACCGTGAAACTTTATCAGGACCTGGAACAAACAATCTGCAACTCCTGTGGATGTCTTCAGTTCCCTTCTACAGTATAAACTTCAATGAAGAAAATATAGGACCTCGGACACGGCGGTCCTCGTGAGCATTTGCGCCTTTGTTTTGAAGTTCACTTTGGACACTGATAGGACTGAGGGAACCATCTTGACAAGAGAAAGTGCTTTAACTTGATCACCAGAGTAAATATACCATAGCATGGAAAGTGCATCAGCGCAACCGAAACATACCTTCAAGTTCCACATAAACCAGATAAAAGTTGGTCAGTTTGCTAGCTTATGATCTATGCAGAACGCTTTAGTCACTTTAGGGTCAAGATAGAACAGTTTGTGCAATCATTCGATCCTCAACCAAAATTATGCTAATGACTTTTGAATCAGTAGGGACAAGAGGATGGGCAAGAGTACATACCATAGTGGGGCATATGAAGATGACAAGTCGAGAAATGGATATGGCCACCTGTTCATTGACCATGTGAGTTTGCGGTTAGGAAAACAATAAACCAAGAACATTTTTTCTGATTTGTCGACGCAAAGAATGAGAATGATTTACCAAATGTTGACGAAGGCATGGAGAATCCACTGAAAAATAACATAAATGATTGTCCACATGAAGAAGTATCCGATACGAAACAAAGGAAAACGCTGCAAGTAAAAGGCCAGAGTTAGAAGCTGGTTTATCATGTGTTCAGAGGTGCTAGAAACGGCTAGGATGTTAGATCTTACTAAGCAGTTCAAAGCCGTGTCTCCAATTAGTAAAATGACATTAATCGAATGCATATTTATGTCCAACTGCAAACAGAAAATCACTTCACAGGTCAATAAGCAGGAAAAGGTGCCAATGGTTCGCAGAAGTGAGAGTTCCAAAAAGACACAGAAAGCTAAGAAGGAAGTGTATGAACTTGTGGACTTGAGGGAGTATTTTCTACTCACAATGCTCAAATTATAATTGTTGATTGCAAGAAATGGGACAATTATGAACCAGAAGACGCAATCCGTGAGCACAACGGCACCCCCATTTATCTGCAACGAGGAGAAAGAAGCAGTGTAAGTTTAACCAAGATACTGAGTACATGAAATGGCCACATCATATATTGTGGTCAGAACATCAACCATCTTTATGGCTAATAAGTTTGTGCCTGAAGGAGCTCCTTAGCGTTCTTTAGATTCCGTAGCATCATAAAAAGACAAGGACTATGTCACTGAGATGTGACGACGATGATAATAGAAGAATTAAACATCAATTACTATTAAATATTGTATATGCGGTGAATTAAACATCAATTACTATTAAAATGAAACCATGAGGGAATTCACCTGAAACATTATTTGAAAGAGATAACCCCAAATATTTGCTCTTTTACGAGTATCTTGCCGGAGTGAATTCTTGGCCGTGCTGATTGCATTAGGATTGTCCCTTGGTTCTGAAGCAGGATAGTTTCCTTGCTCTGAATCAACCTCGACATTGTCAATCTTCTCGCCAGCAGCTCTGTTGTGATATTCGTAGCATCCATAAAAGGACAGCAACGATCCAAGCTACAAATGGTGGGTGAAAATCATGTCAGACTTCTAAAGAATATCGAATCGTCAGCTGAGACTCAATAAGAAACTTGGCGTTGACAAACAGTGATCTGAGAATGGCTATGCAGAGAGAGTGACAACATACCCCAAAATAGATGGTGATCAGCGTAAACGTCCACCTGTTTAAACAACAAAAACAGGTCCTCAGTCTCAGTAAATTGATCTCCAAATTACATACTCATGTAAAATTTATTAGACACAAACAGAACTAGGAAGAACTGATCCAAGAACTTATTCCAATATCAGGAAACAAATAGTGTGCAGATAGAGAGAATCCGCATAAAAAAGTACTCTGGTTCATTTATTATATTCTTGCTGTTTCTAACCCTTCAATTAGCAGCAACTCATAAAAGTTTAATCTGATTTAAGCTATTTCTGTGGACATTTACCCATTAAAAGTCCTCTCAAAGTCAAGGAATCGCTTAAATTGTGCATACTTGAGTGTTTCCATATAAGGAATTTAGTATTGGCAAGGAAAACCAATGAACAACATTAAAAAAAACACATATGTTCCTGCTTGCAGATGAACATGGTTGATTGGCAAGAAGATGACTTACTGGGTATAGTAGTAAAATATGCTTCCTCCATCGAGAAAAGACGTGACAATGAGCATTAGCAAGAGCACAATGAAAGCCACGACTCGGAAAGCTAGTAACCAAGCAGGGTGGACTCCTTTGAGACATGGACTCCAAGTTTCATCATCATACAAAGTTCCTTCAGTTTCTTGTTCTGTATCTCTATCATGGCGATTTGCTTTGCCGAAATCTTCTTTTCTCCATATAAGAACCAGGGAAAAGATCATAGAAATAGATACCCAAAGAGCACAGAGCAAGACCCTCCAGTTCAGCCAGTAACTTGCAGAGGTTGTGTTGCCATTAACGTATGGTTTGTAAGAGTTATCTGAAGATGCTGTTAGAAAACCCATCTTCCAAATTTTGTCTTCTCCGACTGTTCACTTGCTCAAGAGTCTGCGGAAATTGTCGGTTTTTGTTCCTCTATTACAGGGAAAGCAAATATATAGCAATTCGGGAAGACCGAGAGCTGATTCCGGAAAAAAAATGAAAGAATGATTTCTGGGTTTCAACAAATTGGTCTGAAAGATTGAAAAGAGCAAGGAATGAATAAAAGAAACACCCCACAAGAGCTTGCAGGATAATAAGAACTCCACCAGAGTGAAAATCTTTTTCAAAGAAGAAACTGAAATTTAAACCAGAAAGCAGAATGATTCTCAGAAAATGGAGAATTTAGCAGCTGATGTGTAGCACACTCATCAGTTATCACAACATAAGACTCTTAAATAAAGTTGTATAGTGATATAGAGCCTCAAAGCCACCACAATAACTCAGAATTGCATCAAGACCCAAAAATTCCTACAGGCTCAGAAGAGTTCAATGACTATATGCTCTGGCTTCGAGCCAATGCAGCTAGACCTTGCGAAGGTACGTGTGGCTGAAGAAGCTAAAGACAACAATGTCACCAATTCCTGTTCACGTACACCGATGCGATCAGACCTCGAGAAGATATAACAGTTCAGAGAGAACTTGAATTGCCATGATCTATTTGACCTCATCGGTGCCCCACGACTGGGATATATTCTTAACTTTAGGTGGGTTTTTTGCACAGATCTGCACCCCAAATATGGTTGCTGTGTTCAAGCCTCAGTTTTGAAAAGCACAAATATATCATAACTAAAGGGAAAAAACAGGATCTTTCCAAGAGAAAGCAACAGCAAGTGGTGGCGTGTAAGAGGAGATGCTCTTTTTTCAGGAAAAAAAAAAAAGAGTTTGTGAGCTTTAGATGTTAAGCAGAGATGCTTTGCTTCTTTGTTCTGGAGGGAAAACCAGTAAAGCGAAGAGAGAGAGAGGGGATAAAGAAGGGTGTTTTGCTTTGAGAACAAGCTTCTTTTTTCCTGCTTGTTTATTTCAATAATATCTCTTACAAGCAAACAGACCAGACTCCTCTGTAGTCTCAATCCCATATGTCCATGCACATATATTCGATTTCTTTAAAGACATTCATGCCTCGTCACCTCTTTCCCATGGATTTTCAGTCCTTTTAAGCCCCTCAAGATCTTGATATTACAAACTGTGGCAGGCGAGGGACCAGTTACTATTTTATGCAGATTTCCCGTCGGAATGCGCGCAGATTCTTTTTTGAACACACATAAGAATGATTCTCGTGTGTCCTAAGCCATCAATGAAAGAATATATAAGCTTACGGGCATTAAACAACTAAATAAAAAAGAGATTACGAAAAAAGTGGAAGGACCCATTACCCTGCGCAAAAAGATTTGCTTATTATTTCATGATTGATCAATCAGGGGAGCCCGGAAAAAGCTCCATGTTTTGGAGCCTTGCAGGCTTAATTGAAGGCATCACGGGTCTGTTAGGGACAAAGTGTCGAACAAATACTCATCGCGGTTGCTTTTAGTTAAAGCATTTGTCATGGTCATCTTAGTTCGTATCAGCTAGGACCCTTCGCGAGGGACCCTTTTGGGCCATCGCTCGTCACCTGGATTAGGTCGCCCACACAACCTCAGCTCCTACATGCAGATATTGCCTGAATCCATCTTTTAATGATTTCTTTTCCGAAAAAAGAGGCACGGCCCGTAAAATCCAGGTGCAATAGGGGTGATGTAGTACTATAGACCGAAAACCCTAAAGTGGGTTCTTGATATCTTGTCGGAAAGGATACAGGAAGAAGGAGGAAGATAAGATTGTGCAAGAATCTGTTCAAATTTCCAAAATTTTTGACATTTTGTGGGCACCATTATCTGGTAAGTTCTTCCTTAGATAATTAAATTGGGCTGCTCTTAGGAACTAGCGAAGTAGGTCCTCATAACAGAGTGGCAGAGCATGTCCCCATGAACTCCACGACAGAATTACAGTTCACTTTGACAACAGAAACGACACGGCAAGCTCAGACCTCTTTCCTCCTCCTCGTTACCCTTTTTGTTCGCTGTTTTTTCTCCTTTACAATCTTGAACGCGACTTACAAGAAAGGCCCCACTTAGGAATCTTCCCAGTACTTATTAACAGATTTCCTGTATCAGAACCACTGTTCCATACTATAACGACTAAGTTAAATCCTTCCTCTCACTGCATAATGGTAAGTGGACCCAAATAATCGTTGCAATTTGTTTAAACGGGAAGTTCTAGATCTTGTACGTCCTCTCAATTATGGGCCCTCAAGGTTTCTGTTTCTTGTGTGAGCAGGTCACGAGTTGAGATTTGACAGCAAGCGTGTGAGAAGGAAAAGGCCATGGAAGTTTTCCAAAGATTGGGACAAACGTGGGTACCAAGCAAAAGCCCAGAAGTTCTGTACAAGCTACAAAATTGCTTGTAAACCCCCCTAAAACCCTGAAAAAGATTGATTGTCTCGCTTGTTTTCATTGTCATTTTCTATATTTCGGAGCGCAAATTAAGTCTGTTAAATAATTGGCAAAAAAGGGGAAAAGAATGATTGATATGCAAGCGACTACAAATCGTTTCGAAACTTGAGTCCGTTTCGGACAATGTGTTGCGATGTTATTAAGGCCCTAGGAAACAAACCCGCCATTAATACTGACTCTTGTTGCAGCTGCAAAGTGGACTGTTGCTGAATTGTCAGCCGAAGAGTCGGTCTCTTTTAACAATTTGACCAGCATTTTCTTCCTCGGGCTTCTTAAAGCTATGGCAGGTAAGTATGCCACAGTTCTTCAACTGATTAGGGACAAACACACCGAGGAATAAAGAAATAGCCCTGAATGAGCCTCAGATTGAGGATTTCACCTTCCTTCTGAATATGACATAATTCTATCGATCATAAGAATCAAAGATCATGACCCTGTACTATTATGCATGCCAATTTGCACATTAACATCACACCCACAGAGTTGAGAGAGAGAGAGAGAGAGAGAGAGAGAGAGAGAGAGAGAGAGAGAGAGAGAGAGAGAGAGAGAGAGAGAGAGAGAGAGAGAGAGAGAGAGAGAGAGAGAGAGAGAGAGAGAGAGAGAGAGAGAGTGGTTCACCTACAAAGCTTTTCGGGTGAATCCTGTTGAGGTTCTCAAAACTTCACATCACGAAGATCAATCAAACACAGAGAGTATGTATGTAACAAGAGAGGAAGGGGGAGAGCTACACCCGCGGAATGGCACATATAGGAGCTCAAATTGCACGGGGAGAACAGTAGAGTTCACGACTTGCATGCTTTCCGTGGTCTCTGTCTCGCGCGTTTCTCTACCGGCATCCAACAAGCAAGAGACATACAACACTTTCATGCAGTGCACATGATGCTGCTGCTTTGTCCATTTCATTCTCAGTTCCGTATGGACATTGACCTCAAGATGTGCGATTCACTTCTCCGTCATCCTTCAGCAGCATTTTGGCCACTGACAATCACTTGTCCTTTCTCACAAAATTAGCAAACTTTCAAGATTTCTACTTTTTACATGTAGTTGTGTTTTAGTCCTAATTGCACCGGTTACTATGACTTTGTCATGCCATTCAAGATGCACCATTCAAGATGCACCATGCTTGTGATAACCCTGTAGCTTTTTTCAACCATGGTTGACATTCTGGTTGGTTTATTTCATCAGTCTTCGAAGCCTTCTCTTGATGGCATGTTTCAAACTGGGAGCTTCGTAGAAGGTGCAAGAGAAGTCGCGTGAATGTGCGTGGTCTCTTTCCCAAGTGACCATGGAAGAAAGGCAGGCACATGGTCTTGTTAAGATGGACGTGTGAGTTGTGTCAGAAAAGTTGCACATCGAAGAATTGGTATAAATGTAGCAGTTAATATATCATAATTGGCTCATAACTCATTGGCTTAAGTTTTTGAGTGAAGATTGGTCCAATTAAATATATTGACGGGCTCGGATTTAGGCTCCTTCTTGGTAGTTTTTCCGAGTGAAGGTATCATTTTTCTACTGTGAGCTCCCAACAAATGGCAGACTTGAGCTCTCTCTTGGCGATTTTCCCAAGTGAAGATATCGAGCTTTTACTATGCACTCCCAACAAATGATATTAGAGCCAATCGTTAATTGGTGTATACAGTTTTCCAGGCAAGTGAGCGTTGTGGTGTAGCAACACAAGTCCGATGGCAGTCAGAGTAAGAGACCGACAATGAAGGCAAGCGTTGAGGGAGATTCAAGTTGAGATATGTTGGTGTAGAAGAATACCTAAATTAAGGGGGAGTAAACCTAATATTGAGTTCATACGCGAGGGGGAGATTATTGAGATGCATGTGTGAGTTGTGTTAGAGAAGTCCCACATTGGATGTATAGTAGTTAATATATCTTAATTGGCTCATAATTCATTGAATTAAGCTTTTGAGTGAAGGTGAATCCAATTAAATATGTTAACGGGCTCAAACTTGGGCTCTCTCTTGGCGATAACGGTGGGTGAAGGTATTGAACTTCTGTTGTGCGCTTCTCGACAAATAGTATTAGAGCTTATAGTTGGTGACCAATGCGATTTCTACATCTCTAGAGTTGGTAAGAGCACCACTGGATATGTCTATAGCGATCTCTGTGAGTGAAAGTATCAAACTCTATTGTGCGCTTCCCAATAAATGGTATCAGAGCTTATGGTTGATAATCAATGCGATTTCTATATCTCTAGAGTTGGTAAGAACACCATTTGATATGTATATAGCACTGAGTTGGGTATCTCAACTGCACTACTTTACATGGAGGAGTTTTGTCGAAAACAGCCATTGAACACACTGGAGTGAACAAACACATAAAATACGAGGTGAACAAGTGGCAAGAATAAGGCTAGTGGACATAAACGAAGAATGAACCGCTTACAACAGAATTCAATCTAATAGCAGCAATACAGCGCAAAAGTACAGATCAGTCCTGAAATTCATTTTCCCATCAAGAACATCTGGGCGAGTTGTAGAGAATTAAGGATTTGATGCAGTTTCTATCTCTTTCTATTGCCATTTAGACATTTGTCATGTGTGTAAAAAGATTAGTGAAGAGTGTCTGGATGTTTATTTGCCCTGTCCGCAATGACAATCAAAGGCGAGAATTGCTCCAAGACCAGGAATACATGTCTTGAAATGTGCATATCAGTTCATGAAGAGCATCTACTGATCTACAATGCCCACATCCACATGAGCCCGCCATCCTCGTAAATGCAATATGGTTCAACCTCATCTAGTCTCTATACTCTCACACACTACAATTAAGTGGACCGCCACGTGCTTGCACTCAACAGCTCTCTTCAGATAAGGGTGTCGCATACGATTCGCACCGTCTCGGTCATCGGCCGTAGACATTAGACAGCACAATACCGAGGCGAACAGGGATCACGTCGCGACGCGTAATACATACGCCGCTTATAGCGGCATCCGAAGAAGCTGCCGTGCATCTTCAATGAGTATTTGGGAAGCAGATCCGGCATTGATCAGCAGGACAGAGGTTTGCAGTGCAAAAAGGTCACATGAACGGAGGAGGAGGAGGAGATCTACTGCCTGCTGATTCTGAGGATGGCAAAAAGATGGCCGTACTCACATAGGCTCTGTAAAATTGACTTAACACACAGCTAAATGATTCATAAGCAGGGCCGGCCATTTGGGCCTGGTCAAGTGGGCTCAGGCCCAATCACTATGCAAGGCAGATCTAGCACCCGGCCCGGCCCGCTCAGGCCCGGTCCATTTTGTTCGCGAAATTTTAATTAATAAATTCCTGAAAAAGATTTAAGGGTAAAAAGAAAAAAAAAAAGGGGGGGGGGGGGGAAAAATGGGTCACGTGCGCATGATGTGGTTGAGCTAGAAAATATGACTTTCAAGTGAAACGAAAGGTTCCCCTGCATCTTCCTTCTCCACCAAGAAGTCACATCCTCAACTGCTCTCCCCATCAACCCCCCACACCAATTAATTAATATATATTATTTATATATAGAGACAAGCTTTAAATGCAAAAATAGAAAAAGAAAGAAGACCACCAACCCCATCTATCGATTACCTGACCGGCTGACCCCCCAAAAAATAAGAAAAAGAAGATATTTAGCAATTAATTAGCAACAGATAAATTACCCGAAGCTATACAAATAATCAGGAAAATCAAAGATTTCCTTGACATTGGCCCCGTTTGGTTCGGCTTTGGGAATGGACTTTCGAGACCGAAAGCCCGTTCCCAAAATGCTGAACCGTTTGGTTCAGCATTCGGCCTAGTATTAGCCAAATGCTAGCATTTGGAATGCTGAACCCAAATTTTTTGTCTCCAAACTACCATCACTTATTTTGGATTATTCCGATTTTGCCCCTCTTGATACTGTTCATCTTCTTCGTGAGGTGGCCGGCGAGGGTGGCCGACACCGGATCGTGCCGAGCGAGAGTCGCAGGTGACGACCTAGGCGACGGCCGCTGAGGTTGCGCAGCCGCCTAAGCCGCATGCAAGCCCTGGGTCAGGCGACGACTCAAGCGGGTTCAGCGGCACTTGGAGTCGCGCGACCTGTTGCCGAGCAATGGCACGGCCTTATTGCCACGGCTGTGAGATCTAGCTCACCGGTGGTCGCCAGCCTCGGGCGACGGTCGTCGGCACCAGATCTAGCTTGCCGACGGCCGTAGGCCTTCGCCGGCTTCGGCGAAGGATAGGATAGGTTTTTTTTTTTTAATAAAAAAGATAATTCTCAAAGCCCTTTTGCAAAAAAAAATTTACCAAACACTACAAATGATTTTTTACCAAATGCTACTTGCATTTTCCTAAGGGACTTTAACCCAAAGGTATTTGCATTTCCAAAGTTGAACCAACCGAGCCCATAGAAGGGAAAGAAAATCACTGATAAAGGGGTACTGATTAGCAATTCTTTGGATTAGACTGAACTGTGACTTCAGCTCTATTTGTTTTATGAAAAATGAGTAATTTGAAAAACATTTTGACTGAAAATGATTGATCGTATCGCTTAAAATAATTAGTTAATAAAAATTATTTTTATTATTGATAATAATTTATGTCTAGATATTTTCGTGGACGATGAATTTCTTTTTTCTGTTCATTCAATTTTGTAAGCCATTACAATCGTTATTAACAATTTTTAAAAAAAATATGCATTTTTTGCGAAAATAACGAACTTTGGAGTTCCTTGATTTTGACTTACAATCGTTGGATCATGCGAATTTCATTTCTTGAAATTTTTTAAAAAAAAAAAACAATTTACGAGAATCGAAGACCGCGAACGAGCCCCACCACCTAAAATGAATTTTTCCCACCAACCCGCCACGGACAAGCACGAGATCTTCGCATCGTCCGACGTCATAAAAGAAATTTAAAAACCAATTTCCGAAAAAAGAAATTATCATTTTTCCGGCCTTTTTTTTTTTTCCAAATGTCCGAAATCACTTTTCTGTTTATTTAATTTCCCTTTTCCCGTTCGTCTTTTTCTCGCCTTTCCGATCGCCAAAAAAAATTTAAAATTTAAAATTTAAAAAAAAACAGAAAAGCGAAAACCTTGGTTTTCGGGCAGTACTAACAGAGCGCCACCTGCGATTCCAGACACGCCTACCTCTCTCTCCCCTTCCCTTGACGGAGTCGCCGAAGCTCCTCCTCCTCCTCCGCCTCCGCCGCCTCCGCCTCCTCCGCCGCCGCCGCCTGCTTCTCCTTCCCTCCGCCGCTCCGCGATTCGCGCCCTCAGATCTCCGGAGGAAAAAAAAAATGCAGAGCGCGGCGTTCACTCTCTCCCCCGCGTCTCCCTTCCTCAAGTCCCCGGCCGCCGGTCGACGCGCCGTCGGCCTCCGGTACGATCCCATTCGCCTCTCCGCTTCTCCCTCCTCGAGAGCGCGCGATGCGGCTGCCGCGAGCGCCGTCCCGAGGAGCCTCTCCGCCGCCGACTCCTCCTCGTCGCCGCCGCTCCAGCGCCGATCGTGGAGCCTCGGCTCGCCTCCCTCGTCGAGGCCGTGGGGCGGGGTGCCGTTCCTCGGCTCCGATCGCGAGGCGAGGGGACTCGAGGCCAGGGCGGCGTCGGTGCCCGAGGCCGCCGGCGAGGGGGAGAAGTCGGGCGGGCTGGGGAAGACCTTGGAGCTCGGGATGTTGTTCGGCCTCTGGTACCTCTTCAACATCTACTTCAACATTTACAACAAGCAGGTGAGCCTTCTCGCGAAGCTCTCGTGGGTTCTTTCTTGTTTTTGCTTCGGAGCGCGTGAAATGATCTATTCGTGGATGCGAAGTTGTTTGGTTTCATGAGATTTGGTAGGTGTCTGGTGAGTGGTGATCGTGTTTACAACCTGAAGATCATTTGTGCTTTTCGGAAGCAATGCCTCTGGATGTCGCGTGTGTTGCTTGAAAAGACGTTCTTTCTGAGTATGCTTTAGAAAATCTGAGTAATTGTGCGTTTTTCTCTCCGAGGATTCGGCTTTGAATGAATAAAGTCGCGACGATCGCCGTGCTGATCTGGTGTTCGCTCGAGCAATTGGGATCGTGCCGGTGGTCCGGTGGATTGATGCTGGGTGCTACTTGTTGCTTGCAGGTCTTGAAGGCGTTCCACTACCCTACCAATGTCACCCTGGCTCAATTTGCTGTTGGCTCCGTGCTTGTTATCATAATGTGGACTTTCAATCTCTATAAAAGGCCCAAACTCAGTCGTTCGCAGGTAGCTATCGTCGCATTTTGGAGAACTCGTGTGTGTTCTACGTATGTATCTTTCGGATTCTTACTTCCGTTTCATGATCCGTGACAGCTGTTGGCCATTTTGCCACTTGCCGTGGTGCACACGATGGGCAATCTCTTTACTAATATGAGTCTTGGAAAAGTGGCTGTTTCGTTCACTCACACCATCAAAGCCATGGAACCATTTTTCTCAGTTATTCTATCGGCTATGTTTCTTGGGGAGGTACGAATACTTATAAACCTTCCCCTTTATTTCCAAATTTAATTCTGATGTAGTTTTTGGGTTACTGAATGGTGCACCATATTATTGTGAGTTGTAAAGCTCTTCATCTCCTGCAACCATTTAGTTTGCTAAGGTGATATGGTTACTTGTTGAACTTAACGTGTAATGTTCATGTTTCATAATTTCTGATGATCTCGAAAGACTCATGATATTCATGGTGTAGCATTTAATATCCGTCTCTCATTTTAATTGTTTTGTTATTTGTGGCTCCTGCAGATGCCTACCATCTGGGTTGTCTCTTCTCTTCTACCAATCGCTGGTGGAGTTGCACTTGCATCAATGACAGAGGCTTCCTTTAACTGGTGAGAAACTTTAGTAAAGTGCTAAAGATATCGGAGTAGAAGAATGGATATAGCCTAACTTTCCACGAAATCTTCATGTTTGATTTCGGATATGTATTCTAGCTAGCTCATCAGTTAAAGAGGCATGGTTTAGGTCTTTTATTTTTGTTCGGTACACATGACATTCGGCTTTTATGGTTTCTAAGGGCTGGGTTTTGGAGCGCAATGGCCTCGAATCTGAGTAATCAATCTCGCAATGTACTCAGCAAGAAAGTCATGGTCAAGAAGGAGGTATTCTGAATCGTTTCGTCTTCACCTTCAGGCTGTCGAGTAGTTGAAGCTATATTATGCGATCATTCTCTTATTTTGGCAATTGAATTTGCTTATGTACAGGAATCCTTGGACAATATAACTCTCTTTTCAATTATAACCATCATGTCGTTTGTTTTATTATTCCCCGTGACTTATTTTACGGAAGGTCTCAAGTTTACTCCTGCATACCTACAATCTGCGGTAAGTATTCTTTTGAACTTTAATAATTTCTCAAAGGGTTCTGTATTTGGAAGGTTTTTCTGATATGCCCTTTTTCTCATCTTAACAACAGGCGCAACAGGGATTAAATGTTCAGCAGATGTTAACCAGGTCTTTTCTTGCAGCGTTGTGCTTCCATGCATATCAGCAGGTGAGGCTTTTTGCCCAATGCAATATTTTCAATATTTTGAGGTCATGGGCCACACATTTCTTTGACGATCTCAACTTTTAGCTAGGTTGCGTGCTTCATTCATAATTGTTTTTTGCTTTTATTTTCAAATGCATAGATGTGACCTATTACTTTAAGCATTCAGGACCCATTGAGTCTTCTCTATAGTACATTAAGTTTAGATAAGCATATTTACGGGATGGCAGAAAATCGAAAGGATCAATTTGTGACATCACTAGTGAAAGTTAAAGTTTTGGAGCTTTTGAAAATATAAACAAAGCTGCACTTCGGCAGCTGTGTCTCCATCATTGTGACATCAGATTCAAAAGTTAAAATCACTGCGGGGCAATGATTTTTATCTCATCTTGCATCGGGTCAATTATCCCTTAATATTGTTGATCTTCTTATTGGATCAGCAAACTTAATAATGTTGTCTGTGCACGAGTCTATAAAATTGGATAAGCGTCTGCTGCAGATTAATCATGATATACCAAAATATCTGCTGTAATGTGAACAGAGTCCATACCTGCACCAACGATAAAGTACCTATACGAGAAGGAACTGATTGTATTTCAGTTGTGCAGGTCTTGATTAGCACTTTTTTATGAGGAAATACCAACTTTAATTGTTGATTTCGTGCAGGTCTCTTACATGATACTACAGAGGGTATCCCCAGTGACCCACTCCGTAGGAAATTGCGTGAAGCGGGTTGTGGTCATTGTCAGCTCAGTTCTCTTTTTCCGAACTCCAGTCTCACCCATAAATTCCCTAGGTGATTTATGTTACCATCTGAACAGCCTTTTTCCAAGTTTGTTATTTTCTTGGCTTTTGTTTCTTCCCCTTCCCTCTAAACATAAGAGAGAAAGTGTATAACGACATTTGTTTATAAGGAAAAATGAGATCTGGTATCTGGTTATTGGTGAATCAACTAGCTTAGCTTGGTTCCATAGCACTATCGTCGTTGTTGCTAGTTAGATAATTTTGTTCTCATAATTATGGTTTTGATATCTTTCTTGTTGTGTTGATGTTGTTAGGTACTGGAGTGGCCCTTGCTGGAGTCTTTCTATACTCACGCGTGAAGCGCATTAAGCCAAAGCCGAAGACTGCTTAAAGAAACACCGATGCAAATTTTGTCGTTAGCTTGGATAGGCAATCAATCCGTTCAATCTCAGTGTACTCGAGAATATCTTGCAGGTCAGACAGGAAGCAGATCTTCTGCTTGCCCTGTGCACTCTCTTCTCTTCCTCGTTCCATTATTGTTCTCCCTCCCTGCTTCTGATAATTTGATCAGGACTGATCCGGGAATTACATCTCCAAGTTATGTAGCTGTCCTTGAATTTGATTGATATTCATCTGTTGATTTGATTCTGAATTTCGGTAACTAAATCAATTTGTATGGTGTGGTTAGATGATTGGTTTTTAGAAATAGATTGGATTTCCTGTATAAGAAGTCTCATTTGCCGCATGTCGTCGTATTATTGTCTGTTGCTCGGTAGTGTCAGCCTCCGCTCCGCTGCGATCAGTAGCATCTGTACCTTCTGTGAATGAGGCACAGTGGATTTTCTGGTATTCAGTTTGGACATCTTTTATGAATGATTTGAGATGATGTCTGTGGTTGATGAATCATGATTCACGACCAAAACGTGCATGTTGACCAGGTGGGGCTCTGTTTGATTCAACGTTAGAGAGGATTCTGGTTGCATACGTTTGACTTCAAGTTGATATTGGACCGGACTCGACAAAACCCAAATAGAGTTCTTGAATTACAAGTATGCTCACTTAAATAATGTCTACATTCCGACCAAACAAAAATAAAAATAAATAAATAATGTCTACATCTACAGCATATTTATGGCATGCTACATCGTCGCTAGTTCTCTTAAGTCTAACGCATGCAGCATTAAAAATCTTTCCACATGCATTAACGGAGACGTTTCATTTGAGTCAAAGCTAATTAATTGAAGTTCGAACTAAGCAATTTTTGCTCCTGAAAATCCTGCTAAACATTCCCTACAGAGTTTCGTTTTCGTGGCCGACAACATTGAATTGTCGGGATAAGTACAACGCAAGTGCCATAACTTTTGTACGGAGGACACTTAAGTGCCATAACTTGTTTTTGGCTCATTTGAGTGTCATAACTTTCAAAAAAATGATCACTTAAGTGCCACTTACGAGTTGGTCGTGAGGGCTCGAAATCGCGGCTTTGCCGACTGAACAATGACCTTCCCGGTGAGGCGAGCACTACCAGCTTGAAGAGAGGGTGTCGGTGAATCATTCCATGGCCTTCGTTCGTCTCGAAATTTCCGTTTTAGCCTCCGTTGACGAAGGTAAAAATGCTTCGTAGTCACACAATTTATCGAACCGATTTGTGTGACTACGAAGCATTTTTTAAATTGTGTGACTACGAAGCATTTTTACCTTCGTCAACGGAGGTTAAAATGGAAATTTCGAGACGAGCGGAGGCCATGTAATGATTCACCGACACCCCCTCTTCAAGCTGGTGGTGCTCGTCTCGCCGGGAAGGTCACCGTTCGATTGGAAAAGCCGCGGTTTCGGGCCCTTACGACTGGAATCATTACATAGCCTCCGCTCGTTTCGAAATTTCCATTTTAACCTCCGTTGACGAAGGTAAAAATGCTTCGTAGTCACACAAATCGGTTCGATAAATTGTGTGACTACGAAGCATTTTTACCTTTGTCAACGAAGGCTAAAACGGAAATTTCGAGACGAACGGAGGCTATGGAATGATTCACCGACACCCCCTCTTCAAGCTGGTGGTGCTCGCCTCACCGGGAAGGTCATTGTTCGGCCGGAAAAGCCGCGGTTTCGGGCTCTCACGACCAGCTCGTAAGTGGCACTTAAGTGATCATTTTTTTGAAAGTTATAGCATTTAAGTGTCCTCCGTACAAAAGTTATGGCACTTACGCTGTACTTATCCCTTGAATTGTCAATAAGTCTATAGAACGAACTAGACGAGTACGAGGAATTGTCAAGAACCTAAAATTTACCTTGTCAGAGTCGGTTATTAATTTTTGGAATCGACTTGGAACCAAAACAGTCGGCTCTGGGCTACTTCAAAAGTTAGAGCCAGGCTTTAACTTCAAGTAACATGCTTGTTATTTTAGTAAAAAATTGCCACGTGGGTGACATAGTGATTAAAGTATTGGCGAATTTCCTAACCTTTCCAAGTTCGAAATCATCTCCAACATATCTATCTTTATTTATTTTTTGGAACAAAGTAAAAGAAAGAAGCTAAAAACCAGTTTCACCCGAAAGCCGACGATTGATGATTTAAAATGGGTTCTACTCAAGAACCAAATCAGTCAAGACCGGTTTCAAACCAATTCTACTCGAGAACCGGCTATTCACGGTTTAAAACCGATTCCACTCAAGAACCAAATTGGTTAAGGCCGATTCCTTAATAACTCGGAACCCTATTTGGTTTTCGTGTGAATCAGTTTGAAATCGCTCGGATAAGGCTGCTTCGGTTCAATTCTGGACACAAAACGGTCCGGTTGCTCCCCCTATTGTGCAGGTTGGGCAAAGACATAAGAATAAGGGTCCGTTTGGTAACGTGCCAAACAGTGAAAATTTTTGTTCTTTTGTTCCCAGAAATAGTTTGAGAACAGAAATGCGTTTGGTAAACTTTTTGTTCCTGGGCACATTTTTGCAAAAATTTGTGCCCAAAAATAATTTTGGAAGAGAAACAAGAAGTAAAAAAAAGTTGCTTCTTGTTTCTCGGCACAATTTTGAGAATGAGTTCTTTTTCTTCTTTTTCTTTTTTTTCTTTTCTTCTTTGTGTTGTTTTTCCCTGGCCTGTGGCCGGTCACCGGCGGCCGGCTGGCCGCCGGCGACCGGCCATAGCCCAGGGCCGACGAGGGCGTCACGACCCTTGCTGGCGAGGGTGAAGGCTGGACCCTCGCCGCCTGGGCGAGGCGGCTCGCCGTCGATCATGGCAAGGTCGGCCTCGCCGTCGCGACTGACGGCGAGGTCGGCTTCGCCGTGGGTCGAGACGGCGAGGCTCGGCCTCGCCTAGATCGGGCGAGGCCGAGCCTTGCCGTCGCGACCCACGGTGAGGTCGGCCTCGCCGTCGCGACCCACGGCGAAGCCGACCTCGCCGTCGCGACCGACGGTGAGGCTCGGCCTCGCCTGATCTGGATGAGGCCGGCGGTGAGGCAGGCGGCTAGGGCGGCGGCGAGGGCCGCGACGCCCTGGCCTGTGGCCGATCGCCGGGGCCGGTGACCGGCCATGGCCAAAGAAGGGAACGGTAGAAAGAAAAAAATTAAATAATTTAAAATATTATTAAAATATTATTAATAAAAGAAATTTTGTGTAGTTACTAAACGTATTTCGTTCTTTTCTATCCCAGGAATAGAAATTTTGGACGCTTACTGACGCCTTCAAATGCTCAGAAATTGTTTCCGGGCACAGAATAAAAAAGAATCATTTCTGAGTAGAAATAGTTCCCGAGCACAGAATAATTGTCATGCGCACCCTAAATAACCCAACATATACCAAGTGGGACAAATACAACACTCGATTATTCTTGTATCCCGAATAAAAATCTGAGTACTCATCTCCATCTCATACACGAGGAGTTGAGCGACAACTGATGTTGATTCGTGTCTTATTCTTCTTGCTCAAACTTGTCCCTCTCAACCGAACAAAAATTGCTGGTTTCTCCTGAACATATCTGAACTTCCTTCCTCAGCCTCCCAGAATTTCTATTTTGACCAGTCTCTCATTTTTTTGTGATGTCAAAAACAAGCTAGCCTGCCACCTTTCCTCTTTTTCGTTTTCAATCAAAATCACTTTTATCTGCCTCTCGATTAAATTAACTTTCGTTCGATGAACACCTTTTCATCATTCTTCTAATCAGTGGGATTGAGCATTAACTTGATTGATCATCTCCACCAGGTCTAAGTTCTTGTTTGGCTCTTCAGACTCCAGCAATGAATCCATATCGAGCATTTCCATCCCAAACTGTTCACCACCACCACCACCACCTGTCACACTAGCATCAGGTATACAAGGCAAGTCCTCTAGAAGAAAATCAATTGTGCATCCCTCTTGAAGCAGCTTCTCATCAAACAACAGTTCCGGTACCTCACCGAACTTGATAATGTTCCGTACTAACCGATCATCGCTCGAGCAGGAGTCTGACTCCAGCCGTGGCTGAACTGCGGATGCTGACTTGTTTGTGCTTGCATTGTTGTTGACCGCCGTGGTGTGATCACCGCCAGAAGATTTTCCGGGGAACCTCTCGGATGTGCTTAAGTTCAAGCTCTGAATGTATTCTTGCAAGAGAGAGGTTCTGGGATTCTTGGAACGCCTCTTTCTCTTGGAGTATTGCCTTCTTTTGGTGGCATTCCAGTGATTCTTGATCGAGTTCTGGGTCCTGCTGGGGAGTTTCTTCGCGATTTCTGACCATTTATTACCAATCTCCGCATGTGCTTGAATTAGTATCTTATCCTCCTCCTCACTCCATGTATCTTTCTGCGAAATCACAAATTTTTTGGATATAATGGAACAAAAATAAACCCCGCATGCTTCAGATGTATGAACACAAACCCGATTCTCATGCAAAGAAGGTTCATGTGTTAACTACAGAAAGATTCATCTCTTATGATCATATAAAAGGGTAGAGGTTTGAGGAAAAATTAACCAACAGATCAATCCCTGTTACTTTAGAGTCTTGCTTGTCATCCTGATAACTCCAGCATAATCCAGTAAGTGACTTTTGCACATTATACTCATGCAACTAGACCTAAAATCACATACAAATCACCCAATCTTCACAACTTCTTAAAAAATTACAAGAACTCTAAGCTGTTATATAATGTATAACATAACCTACAGAGAAGTTGCTATTTTATGCGAAGTCCTTCGGATACTGAAAAGGTTGAATTGCTATTAGCCTTGAAATTTCTTTTTGCAAATGAATTGGCACTTAATTGAGATTGAAAGGGACGCAAAAGAACCTTAATATTAGGTCTCAGATGGCTGTGCCATCTCTCTCTGCACTGCTTCCCGAGCCGACCGGGCAACATTTGAGCAATGTAAGACCACCTTGTCAATCCAAATTGTTCCACCAGTTGAGTCAGAAGCCTACAATATGAGTAGTTCAACATAACTACTGTTGGATTATGCGCGTAAACTAAATACCAATTCCCAAACCCCCAAAAAAAAAAAAAAAAGAGAGATCAAGAAAAAGAAACCGTTCGGAAAATGCATAGGGATCGTATATATTCTCTACCTGTCCTCTTCAGCTGTCCATTGTCCCTTAGATAATTGGGATCTCTTGCAACCTTCACAAGTCCTTTGCACCGATGAAGACGGCGCCACCTTACTCATATTCATGCAATCGTTCTGGTAATACCCATATTCATCAATAGTGCGAGAGACTTCATCTGGAACAGCAAACTTCATGAGATTAACATTTCGATGAGAGTTGAAGAACATGTGACTTTTATTGTATGTGCTTATTGAGTCGATAGCCGGAATTGTCAAGCTCCCTCCAACTTGAAAATTGTCCATGACAACAGCATACCCATCTGCAAATCGTGTACACTGATGCAGCACATCGAGATTCG